CACCAATTGCCTCGCACCAAGTGACGGGGTTCAGCAAACACCAGCGGCGCCAGGTTCTGCCTCTCTCAGTGATTGTTCTCTTCTCTGTCCCCGACAGCTCCCGAGATAGAACTACGGTTGAGGTTGATCCAAGATGGCTGCCGAGGGTTTGGCCGACCACTACCAGGTTCTCGAGGAACTTGGCCGTAAGTCCACCTCCACTGCTTTTGTGATGTCTTATTTGCTAACTCACCATCTCGCGCAGGTGGAAGCTTTGGTGTGGTATACAAAGGTATTGAGAAAGCAACAGGAGAAACTGTCGCCATCAAACATGTGAGCTTATTCCTGCCCCCTATCATACGGCCTGATTCTAATACCACTACTCGCAGATCGATCTCGAATCCAACGATGACGATATTCAAGACATTCAAGCCGAAATAGCCGTCCTCAGCACTTGCGCCAGCCCGTTTGTGACCCAGTACAAGGGCTCATTTCTCCGAGGTCACAAGTTATGGATTGTCATGGAGTATCTCGGTGGTGGCTCATGCCTTGATTTGGTATTGTCAAACCCTCCTTGGCCACGTTTGAGCATTTGCTAACTAGATACCTAGCTCAAACCGGCCAACTTCAGCGAAACCCATATTGCCATTGTCTGTCGCGAATTGCTTCTGGGCATTCAGTACTTGCACCAGGAAGGCAAAATCCACCGAGACATCAAAGCCGCCAACGTCCTCCTTTCAGAGTCCGGCAAAGTGAAGCTGGCAGATTTCGGCGTCGCCGCCCAGCTGACCAATATCAAATCGCAGCGCAACACATTTGTTGGGACTCCATTCTGGATGGCCCCGGAGGTTATACAGCAAGATGGGTACAGCTTCAAGGCTGACATTTGGTCACTGGGCATTACTGCCATGGAGATGGCGAACGGCGAGCCGCCACTAGCACATATTCATCCTATGAAGGTGCTATTCCACATCCCCAAGAATCCTCCCCCAGCCCTAGAGGGCCATTTCAGCAAAGAATTCAGAGACTTTGTATCTCAATGTCTCATTAAGGACTACGATCGCCGACCAACTGCAAAGGAGCTATTGCGCCATCGCTTCATTCGTTCTGCTGGCAAGGTCGAGGCCCTGCAGGAGCTCATCGCACGAAGACAGATGTGGGATGCAAACCAAAATCGCCAGAGGCACCCAATCTACTATCAGGAGACTCTACAAACTATTTCGCCCAAGGATGATGAGGAAGAATGGATCTTTGACACAGTCAAATCTGTCGCACCACCCAAGCGACCAACCATCAGGCACCACCGAAAGCCATCCTCCATGTTGGCTACCGAGGAATCCATGCGCAGACTTGATCTCAAGGATGCTCCCTTGGGCTCAGCCTCTCCCGCTGTTGGAACGATACGTAAATCCACAGTTCGGCGAACCCCATCAATGGCACAGGTGTCAGCTATGCATTCCACTGGCTCCCCCAGGAACAGCTTGCCCCGAGGCTCGGTTGTGGCTAAGAGACCCCTTCAGCCCGACATGTCGTTCGGAAACTCTGGTTCGACCATGCGCCTATTCCGCAGGGTTCCTTCAGATAGCTCCACAAGAGGAGAGGCTGGGCGACCTGGCTCTCCCGACGACGTCTTTTGCGATGAGAACGCGCCACCCGCAGCAGCGGCTCCTATTGAACCCTATGGGAAGGAGGCAATTCTTGGGCGTAGACTTTACAACAAAGCCATTGAGCCCAGTCTCTCTGAGCTACATGCCCAAACTTCTGCAATGCAAAAGCGCGAGGCCCTGGCTAAGTTGTCTGATGCGTTTGCGGCTTTAGATGCCGTCGACCCGGAAGGCGCGTATCACCTCGTCAACAATCTTCTCACTTCTATGTCCCAAGACAAGAAGCTCAACGGTGCTCTACTTGATAAGCCATCTAGGAAGATACCTGACGATGGGACTCCTCAAGGAACCGTCATCATTAAGAGCTCGACGCCTATGACTAGCCCTACGAAGCTTGTTCTTAGCTCAAACAATCCTCATCTGAAGAGCCACAGGCGCCGCCAGGGGGAATCCCCTGCCCCTGAGGGCTTCAATGAGAAGGAACAATCCATGATTGAGTCTAAGTATCCTGGCCGGGAGATGAGGTCTGGTATGGAGCATTGCAAGCAACTTTCAGATGTCCTCTACAACCGTTGGGCTGAAGGTCTTCGCATTCGCTGGCCTGCCGCCTAAACTCAACCGAGAGGTATGCTTCCTCCATCAACGGGAGGAGAAATTTGGTGGGAATGAGAAAAAAGTATCTTCTCTTGTTCCCAGCGAGATCAGGAGGGAACAAAAACCTTTACAGATGACGGGCGAGCCCCACCATCTTGGATCTGTACTATTTACTGTTTGTGACATTTTGTACTGCATGGCCGAGCTGATTATTGATTTGAAACCTAATTCACGGGAGCAGGAGAGTGGCTCTCATGCCCCAAACTTTCGGCATGGGAATCGCGAGGACTGGGTGAAGTCTGGCATGGTGCCTTTTGCACATGAAACCTTGACGGCTCATGTTGCCTGATGACTTGATATAATGTACATGAGAACGGCGTTTATCGGATTTACTTGTGGTTTGAATTACTTGGTAGATAGAGTCCCAATTACATAGATGACCAATTCATCTGATTGAATATAAGATACATAGCAGCGCTCAACGTGTAATGTGCAACTGTCCGTCCATGAGCTTCGACTTTGGTTGAAGGCACCACGCATAAGGTCAGCCTTCAAGCTGCTCATCTTGCTGTTTCATAGCCAGCTTGATCCTCCAGTTCTTGAATTCCTCGGAGAGAATGTCACCATGACCGGTGTCCTGCACCCTGTACACCTCAATGATGGGTGACTGCGGTTTTCGAGATATCCTCCACACCCCCTCGTCATTGATATTTTGAGTTAACCCTGATTCAGGTCCACGTTGTCAGCGCAAGTTGATTCCGTCGGCGAGAATAAGGGATGGGTACACTTACACTCCAAGAATATGCCAGCAAAGTTGACACACATGTCAGCGTTCCACGACGGGTTCGGCTGAGAGTTGACGATTTGCGGTATGCTCTGCGTCTCAATCTCGTCGACACTGGAGAGAATGCCATCGCGAGTCCGGAAGCCGACGATGATCTTAGGGACGCCTAGCAGGAAGGACTGGATCCAGAACTTCATGAGCTTGCGGTGGAAGTAGTCCCTGTCCTGGGGTCCTCGGATCTCAGCGGACGTCTTCAGCTCGACCCAGTTTGTCGGGCTTCCTTGGATGAGTGGTTTTGAGTCCCAGACTATTCATGATTGGATGCATCAGTAAGATCCACATCGCTCTGTTGGTGATTCATTGTGATCTGTTTCCCTCGCTGATGAGGGAGGGGGCTGAGAATGTGGTTGGCACTTACTGGCATCGACTTCACCACCGAGACACATCACTGTCTTTCCAATCCCGGTACGAACGACGGAGCAGTACTGAGCCTTGTTGTTGACGACATGATTCTCGCGCTCTTCGATGTACTCGCGCGAGGTCTCGGCCCATGTCTTCGGAAGGGTTGCCAGCGTTTCGAACTTGTAGCCTTGAGAAGTAGCTGGTAAGTCTGTGTTCATAGGCCCCTTGTCAGAGAGAAAGATAGAGACCTACCCCAGAACTGCATAACTTCCAAAGGAGGGCCTCGTCGTTTGGCCGGCCCTTTCTCATTGGCTCTGGATTCCATTTTGTGCTTGTGGCTCTCCTCAATGAAGCTGAGTGCTTATTAGTATGGCTGAGATTCACTGAAAAGAGATTTCCAGTAAGTTAGTAGAGAATTAAGACTTACAGGCAGCCCTTGTTGTAGCATTTCTCATCAGTCAAGATCTTCCTGGGGCTCAAGGGATCAACCATACCTGATATAACGTGGCGTTCATTTCAAAGCTATACCACCCGATGTAAGAATTCAGCCTTCTAAACGACCACATTGCGCACTCACCCATCTCTCGTTTCAAAAGGCGTGGCCATGATCTGGGGTTTTTTTTTTAAATGTCAGATGCGATGCTCATAGACGGCGTTATTCTGCGGAACACTTTACCTTTGTGATCATTCCTCTCCACGTCACGACGTTAGCATCAATCTTCTTGCCCTCTTTCTGCTCGTGATCGATGATGGTCTTTAACAGGCTATCAAGATGTTCATCTTTGGAATCATCTTGCTTCTGGAAAGTCTCGAACCCCTTGGACAGGTCTGCGCCCAGAACAGGCGGGTAGTAGTATTGAATGGATGAATCATCGAGGTGAAATTGATGGTTTTCATCGTATGAAAAGCAAGCAAACTCCTAGATTTGCATGTTTAGTTTCCAATAAGAGATGCGACCGGTTGATGATGGGCATACCTTGGGTCTCTTCACAGGCTGGCTGCCGCCGGCGAAGCGACCTATTGGCTGGATTCCAAAGCTGGCTGACATGTTGCGATTGCAGAGTCAAAAATACCCATTTGCGCGTTGGGTTAATACGACCTATTGCAGAGGATTGAGAGTGACTAAACAGGTGTATGCGAGATGGTGGAGCGTGGCAGGACGCAGCCGGGATTGGAACGACGATTGATTGATTGACGACGGTCCTGTCTAGGCGGCTGATGGAAGCTGTTTTAAGATTTTGACACACCTCACTCGCCAGCCTACCCTATACTCGGACGACTACCTCAACCATCTCGCAAGCATCGCAAGCATTGGATAAATTATAACAAGAGGAAGTTTGCCGTTCTATATATACATTCGTTTACTTAAAAAAATACTTTATGGAAAGAATGAAAACTATGTCAAGGTGGTCATGTCGCATCATTACTACCTACCTTACCGAAAGGAATATTGTCTTAGAATCGTTTGGCTTGACCCAACTTGGGTTCTTTTTTCACACATACATAGAAAGAACGCAAATATTTGATGTTTAGTAGTTTAAAATTAACATTTAAAACAGGATTGCAGAGTGTCGGAACACATCGAGGCAATTCTGCATGGATCTTCCAAAAACAAATTATCCTCTTACAGTATATCATTACATGGGACGCCAGTTAGATTCAATCATAGCCAGAGCCCGCTTTGTTGCCTGATCCAAATCATCTTCAGGAAGCCCTAGAGCTTTGTTATGCAGCTTATCCTGGTACGTCCCCTCCGTGCCTGGGAAGAACATCCGAGAATAGTACATCCTTGCCAGCCCTCGGAGGTCTCCCGTCGCTAGGAGAGCTTGTCCATCAGTGACTCGCTTGCTGGTCGCCTCCTTCTTTATGGTCCAGTCCTTATCAGAGGTACCCGATACGCGGTGGATACTGTCTAGCATATCTCGCTGAGAAATGAAGAAGCTCGATGTATACAGCGGCTTGTTCCGGAAGGAGGAAACGGTGAGAGAATTGTCATTCTCGTTCTCTGGGAGCTCCTTGAGGCTGAGGAATGCGGCCACCGTCTTTCCGATGAACGGCCAGGAGGAAGTGTTGATCTTGCGCTCGCCATCATCGAAGAAGGTGACCTCCCGCTTGGCGACATCGAAGCCGAACCAGTCTGGCGGGCACGCCAGACTGAACTCGTACCAGAGGCTGGTCACAAGGACTGTCCAGGAACTCTTCCCAACTTGTTCGATGTGCTCAACGATCGGACGAAGCTTCTGTCCCAGAATGACTTCATCACCAAGCGACTTGTTGCTGATGACAATATCGCAGGTGTAAATATTGGGCATGACGTATGGCACGCCAGCCTTGCCTGCCGCCTCGACAATATTCGCGTGAGTTTCAGGGGCTGCATCGTGTGGCAAGGTAATAATGAGGAACTGTTGTCCCTTGAGGGCGGACACCAGCGCACTCTCGTCAGTGTAGTCGACAGCAGCTGGGATCACACCATCTGGAAACGTTGAGTTTCCACCAGCTCTGGTAACGGCCGTGATCGTGTGCTGGCCTGTCTTGAGCAATTCTTCCGTGATGTGGCGACCAAGTTGGCCTCCGGCCTAAAGAATGATTTCATCAGCGAACGAGGATATGTGAAGACGACGAGGTCTCACTTACACCAACGATGGCAACCCGCTGAATACGGTTAACGAAGCCCTCTGGCTGATCCATGGCATATTTAGCAACCATTGTGATATTAGATGTTGTTTGAAATTTTGATTGCTATTTGGAAGAAGTAGGAGAATGTCTGTTCTGGTGTTGGTATCTTGTTGTGTTGAAGAGTGTTGAAGATGAGAGCCAAGCAACAAGCGTACTGTATTTGTAGTTCCCAAGTATGCTTCGGATACAGACATACCGAACTATTGTTAATGCTGTCTTACATCGAATCTAGTTGATTCCGTCTTGTTAATCATGATATATCGGCTGAGTCAAGTGTCGCTTTGCATAATACTTCAGTTCCGACCGGACTCCGGCGGACAAATCCTCACCTCCCATAATGACGGCCGAACCGGACGTACAAGACCGAAAACTGAGAAATCAGGTCCGGATTCCTCAAGTATGTATAAATCCATAGCTTTTATTTGTGATTGATTACGGCCGGACTCCGCAAAGATATCACTCTCCAATTATAAGTCGAGAGAAGTATTTAATTCTTGAATAAATGCTATCCTCGACTGGATATCGTATCTGACAATTTTACTTCGAGTAACATAATTTAGAACATCTTCATACAAACCTCTTCGTTAAAATGCCAGCCAGCCAGGACGTCGTGGTTCCCAAATGGGTTTCTTTCACCGAAAAATGGCATAATAAGCCCTACGAAACCATCTCACCTAAACGCCCTGAGCTATCAGCTGCGGGCAAGAACGTCATCGTCACTGGAGGCGGCACTGGGATCGGAAAGGCAGCAGCTATTGCGTTCGCTCAAGCTGGCGCCAAGTCCGTCTCTATCCTCGGCCGCCGACTGGATAGGCTAGAGGCGAGCAAGGAGGCCATCCTGGCCCAAGCTGCCAACCCCTCGGAGATCCAAGCCCTGTATGAGGTTGTCGATCTCAAGAAGCGAGAGGAGGTTGAGTCTGCATTTTCTAGCATTGTTGGGAAGGTCGGAAAGCTCGACATTCTTGTCAACAATGCGGGTGCCATGGCTCCTCCAACCCCTGCCCTCAAATACACGGCGGAGAGTTTCTCTTCCATGTTCGAGACCAACGTCACCACTACCCTCCATGCCACACAGGCCTTCGTATCGTCTGCAGGCCCAACGCCAATCCTCATCAACATTTCGGCGAGTCTTGTACACATCCAGCCGATGGGTGGGATGGCAGCGTATACGGCCAGCAAGACTGCGCAGCTCAAGCTCATAGAATACCTTGGGGCCGAGAACCCCCAACTGCACACCGTCAACCTGCACCCTGGAGTCGTTGCGACGGAGATTGGAGGGCCCGGCTCTGATCTGATCGGACAAGACGAAGGTAAGTTGGTGCTCTCGACGTCGAACTGAAGCCGACGCCGACACTGTGCAGATGCATCTAGCTAACCCACATATCTCCCTGCAGTTGAGCTCCCTGGCCAGGCCTGCGTATGGCTTGCATCGGAGGAGGCCAAGTTCCTGAAGAGCAAATTTGTCTGGGCGAACTGGGATGCCGAGGAGCTGGTCAATAGAAGGGAGAGCATCATAAGCTCGCGCCTGTTGACGGTGGGGCTGGATGGTGTGGAAATGTAATGGACGGAGTAAGCGAGGCGGCATTCCACCCACCCATGCCCATAGAGAATCTGATTATCTGCCGGGGCTGTGCTTTGCTTTGTCAGTTTGCGCGCGCACTCTTCATATTTCTTCCGGAGTTCCTCCCGGACGGTGTGTCCGACCGGACTCCGGCAGCTCTGTGTGCTTGTTGCTTTCTGTCTTCCTCGAACATGTAGATCGCATCGTACAATATACACCATTCATCTAAAAATTTCTTATTCACGCATACATACGGACATCTCAGCCGTGCATGAATGAACAGGCTGTGGGTGGTGCCCATTCTTACTACTCCGCGTTTATACTTTGTCGACGACTCGCTCCTTTGGTCTGTATTTCTATAAGAGGCAATGGAGCCCAAGAAAGGTGGACGGCCGCTTGGGCGACGAACGGTACCTTTCCCAGCGCCCTTTTGATTTGTTCTGACCCGAATCCCCGCGGAAGACTGACATTCTGCTTTGCTCCAGGCCTGCGATTTCTGCTGTCGCAAAAAGATTAAGTGCGACACTCAACAGCCGAAATGCTCCAACTGTGTCACTCAGAAAGTCCCCTGCGTTTGGACCCCTGGCGTAAAAGCCAAGAAGACTATCACTAAACCCCAATTTACGTGAGGCAACAAACCCAAGATTAACAAGATATTGAATGGAAATTGACGACATCTAGTGAACCGGCCGAGATAAACCGTCTGGATTATCTGGAGAGCCGCCTGGCTGCAATCGAGGCCCGCATGGATCACAAAAACCAGACGGGCATACAAAGCCCACTATCGAGCTGGGACAGAGAATCTCGTTCTAACGATGGCAGCTATGAGCTCAATGAGCCTTCCTCCTTTCCACCAGGGGGTGCTTTGGCGCGCATGGCGGGCGAGACGTCTGTTGTATTACATCGAGAAAGCGAGCATTCGTTGCCGCCCCTTTCCGAGATTCTTCCCGATGTGGAGAGCTACTTCGCGGGTTTCAATAAGGCCATACCCTTATTTCATCAGCCGGATTTTATGATCATGCTCGAGAGGTGGTACAATCAGCCCCTTGGGCGTGACGAGGCAACATGGGCTGCCGTGAATGTGGTTCTCGCATTGTCCTTGCGTCAAACAGATAAACAGGAACGTGCCGATAGCGAGTTGGCGACCACCACGTATATCAGCAACGCGCAATCCGTACTCAACGGTTTGGTGACACGATCAGAGGATCTGAAGGGGCTCCAGGTCGTTCTGGGGCTGGTGATCTTGTTTCTTTATACCTCGAATCCCTATCCGTCATGTGTTTTGATCGCAACAGCAATAAAGCTAGTCCACCGCCTGAGACTCCATACCAAGGAGGCAAAGGCTTACATGGATCCCGAAACAGCTGCCCAAGGAGACCGGTTGTTCTGGATAGCTTACATCCTCGACAAGGACATATCAATGCGTGCCATTGAGCCTTACTGCCTGCAAGACAACGACTATGATGTCGACATACCCACAAACACTGTCGCAGAGTATGCGCCAGGAACCTTGGTTTCAAGCGATGGTACTTTGAGTCTTAATTTCTTCCACCACCGAGTCCAGCTCGCACGAATACAGGCCAAAGTCTATGATTGGACCTTTTCAGTCCGTGCAAAGAAGCTATCGCAAGAGCAGCATCAAGCTGCGTCGAGACGGGTTCAGCAGATGATCCGGCACTGGAGATCAAGCCTGCCTAGCGAGTTCCAGGCGGACAAGCTTAGCCTCTCGATGGGGGGAAACATGCTCAGGCATCTCATATCCATCCACTCAACATGTGGTCACTGTCTGTTCATGGCACACAGAATCCATGCTCGCGATGCAGTATGGATCCAACAGCTTACGGAATTCAGCGATCAATTTGTCAATCCAGGAGATTTAAATCTTGGTAATGATAACTCAGTACCGATGGTGCGCTCGGACGCCTGGCAGGACTTTGTGCAGACAGCAAGATTGGGTATCAAGCTGATTAATCTGATAAGCCCGAGCGATACCGGGCTGGTATGGTGAGTCCCATCCCGTTCTTCAAAGACTCGCACCTAGGTACATCCGGAGGAAGCTAGGTTCTGACCAGAAGTAGGAGCGTGACCTGCGCATATCAGGCAGCGCTGGTGATTTTGATTGCTAATAATTTAACGGTTTCTCTACATACACACCATGACTGGATAGATTATGATGCAGGACTCATTGACGAGTCCGTGGGAGCATTGGACAAGCGAATTAGAGACGCTGGAAATTTGCCAGTGATTCGAAATGTTCTGACTGCTTGCTCGGAGCTGAACCAGAGAGCCAAGCTTGCCGTTCGTCTACACCGCATGCGCATAGAGAATGAAATGTTGCGGTACGGGGGATCTTTGTTCGAGGTGGATCTTGCAGCAGTCGAGGAGGAGATCTTTGGAACCCAAGCAACGTAAATGGGCTGTAGATCGTCATCAGAGTTTGTACTGGTTGCTGCGATTGATCAGTTCGGAGAGCTGTGTGACAATGATAAATGAAAGTGTTCGTAATGGGTCAAAGAGAGGCTCTGTTCTTTTGAGGTGTCTGTAGAAACTCCAACGAGAAGTCCGGGAAGGGGTACTGGACGTCTTATTGGTGAGGGTGACAGTCTTGTGGAATATAGACAAGCATGATCCAAGTAATCCATCGGCACAAGAAGGTATTTAGTTGAAGTAATAATGACTTTCAAAAGGACAGACCGTGATGACACTAAGAGGTACCCAGGTCAGGTACCTGGGACTAGGCAGACTAGTGCAACGGAACGGGCTGGATCAGATAGAAGCTGGAGGAAGGAGCTCGTGCCAGCTGCGCGATGAACAAACGTCGTCGTCGACCTCGGCCACTATGTGGTAACACAAATTGCCCACAGGCAAGAACCACCGACGTCGTTCCCTAACCGACCTGCCGCCTGCCTTAATACTTGCAATGTAGGCAGGTACCCTCGGCGCGCACCTAACCTCCCGACCCAACATTGCCCTACCACCACCGCGCCAGTCTAAAGCAAGCTGCCGACGCTTGGCCACCGACAGGTACGCACCCAACCGCAAAGGTTTAGGCACACACAACGTGCCAGCTCATAGCATAAACACACGACGGAAGTGTACAATGCGGTCCCGACTTTCATAAACATCGACCACCCCAGCCTGAAAGCGCGAGCCACTTCTCAGCCTTCCCCATCCTCAACGTCTTCATCTCCTCCCTTTTTGCATTTCCAACAGCGCCCTCTGTGCCCGATACCTACCTCCCGCACAGGCACTTTCTCTTGGAACCAGATAGGTTTTTGGAGTACTGCAGCGGTCGTTAGCTCGACAAATATACCTAACTACCAAGCTACAGCACAGCGGTTGCTCTCCTTGTCAAGGTAGCATTTTATCCCAGCGATTCCTCAGACTTGCCTGATCAGTCCCTCGCGCCAGAATCCAGATTGCCGGGCCTAGCGAAAAGTCAGGCAGGAGCTCGCACGTGATTGGCCTTCTCCCGTCTAGGGCAGTCCTTGCCTCCACCCATGAGCGTGGCCAGCCCACACGCGCACTGGCCACCGACGACAGACCCCTTGTTTTTACAGTGAATCGACCCCCCTACTTTATTACCTAAGGCAGCATAGTGGAGAGCTTTGGTTCCCGCTAACCAGCAACCAACTTGTAAGTCAACCAACACAAACACCCGCGTTGGTCTACCGAGGCGGCGACGCACGATCGCGACTTACATCACAGCAACTGGCTGGCACTACCTGCCCACAGGCTGCTACGAGTCTATCCATGGCTGCACTCGGATAGTCGCCGCCATCGTCCCTGGCATCTTGCTAACCAAAATTACCCAGGTCAATGCCCCGCCGAGTTCGCAAGAAACAGACCAAAAAGTCCACGCCTGTAATATCTGCGCCCCCAGCCGACGAGGACGAGGAAGAGTCCGGCTGGTACGTTATCAAAGATATCATAGACGAGAGGAGAGTGCGGGGCAAGGTTGAGTTCTTGATAGACTGGGAAGACAATCCAGACACGGGGAAATCTTACGATCCCACCTGGGTAAGCCAACATGCTTTTTCACGTGTGGGCGCATACGAAGTCGCTAACCACATCATCTTCTTAATCGGTAGGCAAAGAGCCGCGACGTCACCAAGGAAGCTAGGGATGAATGGCAGGAAAAGAAGAGAGCCAAAAAGCAGAAATCATCACCTTCCCGTCAACAATCTAAGGACGAAACACAAGGCGTTGGGCCGGATCCTAGTCAATCCTTTCGGGGAGCAGAAGCTTCACAAGAATCAAATACTACACAATCGCAACTTGTAAGGGGCAGGTCGCCAACAGCTGATGAATCAGACCTCGAGCCTGTGCGAAAGAAAACGAAGCTTAACCAAATCGTAAGCCCCTCGCCGTCCCTAACAAGCGCCTCGGTTGAGCCTGTCGAGCCTATTACCGCGACATCGTCAAAACCCGCTACCAAGAAGACTCTCTCAGTTGAGATTCAAGCAAGCCCAAGCTTTAATCCCGCTGATTATCGACGCACTTACGGCGCCAGCCAAGCCACTGCTCTATCATCCCAACCAATCCCTGAATTAGACCCTCTTTCGCCACAACTGAGTTATCGTACTATACCGGACTCTGAAGATCCCTCCAGCCTCACTGCTTCCCTCCCGAATGCGGATCCAGTCCAAGTTGTTGGCATAGAGATTGTTATTCCAGACTCGCAGGATCAAACTCAAGAGAGTAACTATACACAGCGTCACGGTAGTGCAAACTTTCAGAAAAGTTCAAACGAAAATCTACCAACTGAGGATCGGAGGATAAATTCTTCTGACGCCAGTCGTGATATCCCATCGCATCAGCCCAATCAGCTTGAGGTTGAGGACCACCATAGCCAAGATTCTCCTCAGTTCACCCCAGTGCCTCGGTCGGGTTGCACACCAAATCGCCTTGTATCACAACAGATCGAAGAATCAGTGCAGCGTGAGGAACTGAGATCGACCATAGAAGATAGCGCTCGGGCAACCCCGTCCTTCTTGGGAAGCCAGACACCTAGGTTCTTAGGCTCTTTAGACGCACCCAGCCCTCAGCGTTCACCTCAGTTCCCTCTTAAAGAACCGAGTGATCGGCTTTCGCAGGCTGCGCAAGCCCATCTCAACACTTTTAGTACATATCTTAGCGGCCCCTCGCCTGAAGACAACGCTAGCGACTGTCTCTCAAGTGAGCTGGTTTGCGAAAGCGCGAACAGTGCTCTTGATACAGCTAGACCAAGGGATACCGTTCGTAAGGAGGAGGCCAGGCCCGTTGAAGAACGTCTTGAAGTCTCTCAAGAGTCTCAAAGCTCTACCTTGAATTGTGCCAAGGAGCCGAGCAAAGAGAGGCCCAGCAATCAGGTTCCTCAAAGCTCTTCAGGGGATTGTGAAGAGGAGGAAGGGTCCCAATCTTTTCGGGAGATAAACTCCGGGAGGGTAGCTGGTAGTCCTATCAATCAAGTTTCCTCTAGTGATCTCGAGAAAGCACCCGAAACCGCTCTCCAGGCAAGATCTGCGGACACTGGTCCAGAGTTCCTGGACGAAGAGTTCAATCCTGCTGGTGCTGACGGTGAGCAAAGTACTGAAGCATCTTCATCACAAAATCAGTCATTTCAAAAGGCCAATTTAACCGCTGATACTTCACGATTCGAAAACAAAGAAGAGACCAGACCAGCAGTTGGGAGAAACGAACAGCTTGAAGAATCGAGACCGCCACAGTCAGTACTACAAACACCACAGCCGCTACTCGATGCATCGCGGGCGTTCCCCGAGGGAAAAGAAACATTTCCTACTGCAGAGTCATTTGAGTCGCTAGAGACTACGCCAGAGCCATCTCCAGAACCGCCAGATAGAGGCTCTAAGGGAAGGAGATCTATTCCGGCCCCGTATCTGGTAGGTGAGGTAACAGAAGTGCCCTCTAGCGCCAAAGAGTCTTCTCTTCAAAGAACAGAGCCACCGGGGACTCCTCAAGCAGCGCAACGAGCGGAAGAAGTTCACCCCGAGGCAGCACAAGAATCCCTACCACAGTTATCAGAAGACGCCACTGAGGCCCTAGAGCCACATTTGGAGGGAACAGAACCATCTGAGGCGTACCGGCCACCACTTGAGCCAAAAGAGGTTCGGCCTGAGGTACCGGAGCTACTGCTCGAGGCAGAGGTATCACGACTACAGGCGGGAGAAGTATCATTTGATAGTATTTCGCCAGGTGGTAAAGACACCGGATCTCAGCGGCTTCCATCTGCAAGCCCTTCCGTTATATTTACGGGCGAAGGCCTTGCTGAATCGGACCCGAGTAGAGGAGGTCGTGAAAACTACAATTGTGATTCCTTCGTAGAGCAGGGCGTCTCAGAAATCAGCAGTCGGGAGCGTATTGAGATTCAACAAGAAAACATCTTTCGGGAGGAGTCACAGGAACCCCTGGATCCCAACGAACAAAAGTGCATTCCATTGGGTGATTCGGAAGGCCGCTCACAAGATCAGTCCAAGGACAAGCAGGACGGTTCTGTTGAGTCACAACAGACAAAGTCAGCTCAGGGAGGCATAATTGGGAAAGGCCCTGAAAATCCTCATCCAGACCAGTCATCTTCTGACCATCATCATAAGCTCTCTGGATCCCTGGACGCCTCAGCACGTTCCTCAAAAAGTGGGTCCTGGTCCATTGGACAAAGTGGCGCGCCAACCAACAGCGTCTCAGACCAAACCATACCTCGGGAACACCGATCTCGTCTGGGTGGCTCTTTGCGCCAATCTGCAAGCGATATTGTGCAAGAGATATTAGACTCCTGGGGCAGGGAAAATCACCATTTTTCATCCACAGAGATGTTTCCCACAGCCTCCACGTCCTCGGACAATCACGAGGTTTCGGCGATCACTGAGTTACAGAACCTTTGGGACTCGGATGATGAAGTGGTCGCAGAACCTCAGCAGGCAGAGTCGATGGCAGAAGCTGGCCCATCGCTATCGCTGGGATTGGCTTCGAGCGGAGCATCAGAGGCCCATGGCGACTTATCGAACCCAGGTGCCTCGTCAGAGTTCCTCTCCCAAGCTCCTCCGTGGACATCAGCGCCGACTGAGCTTCCTCATATTGGGGGAGAGCTAGCCTCTTCAACAGAGATACCACAAAGATCGGCCACAGATTCGATGCGCGACATCATCAACCAAGCATATGGTGGCTCTGAACCAATCACCATGGCTCTTATGCCCCCTCAAGCTCAGGATGTCGAGCCTGTCACTGTCTCCCCTGCTGATATCAGCAGACCGACAGAGGCTGAAAAGATTGTACTTCCCGTCATCCCTATATCAGGAACCGAAGCTTTTGGTTCCCTTCCAGGCGTGAGTTCCAGCAATTCCATATCGATGGCACAGCTCCCGCAATCAGATGCCGAGCAATCTTCATCTTCGTCGCCAGCGGTGGCTCAGAACGCGCTTCAAATTAACTACGTCGTCACAATCCCCTTCCAATCAAGCATCCGTTCTTTATATGATGAGGTCCTTCTCAAATCCAGAAAAGACATCACCGAATTTGGCTCCAAGTTTACACAAGACACTTTTACCGAACCGGACAAGTATCTGGTTGAAAAGATTGATACGTTGTTTAGCGACCTTCAAAACATTTGCGACTACCCCCAGGACATTATTGGTCCCTTGGTGAAGGACATGCCTGCAGAAGACAAAGTCAAGTATTCATTGGATGCGAATTCAAAGCTGAACTTCATCTACGAGCTTTTTCTTCGTACCAAAACAGATATCCAGGCACTCATTGTCGCGCGCTCACCTAATATCCTCCGCATGCTCTGTGATCTTGCAGAATATCTGGAGTTGGATTGTATCTGCGATGCTCTCGAATATAAGTCCAAAAACAAGTTCAAGGATTCGTCCGTCCGACTTACTCTTGTCCCCTCTGAAAGTACTATCGACGCTTTTGAGTACGATGTGGTTCTGGGCTATGATAACTCCTTCCAGGATTCGCCCGTCGCGCAGGCGCTCGCATGGGACAACCGAGGCAATGCCAAGCCCTTGGTTCTCAGGCTGGCAACAGCCTACTCAATCGAGCATCTGTCACTAGAAATCTCAGATACTGATGGCAATCTAGAGCGGCGGAACGCTCTTTTGTATGCTATTGTCCAAATCAGAGATACCTTCAGAGATCCTCCGCGGCTTATGGAGCCTCACAAGGTCGCCGCGATATTTTCCGACTTTTTAAATGATGACACGCAGGCCATTCTTTGGGAACCAGTTACCATTCCTCCGCATGCACTCGACGCATTCACCAACTCCCAAGAAATGGGACAAATGTCCTTGGAGGGGTATTTGGACCAAGACAACGGTCGCAAACACAGGCTTGTGAGACAGAAATTCTGCACTGGTTTTCGTTCTTCTGACTAATAACAATATAGGACGAGGACGAGGACCCTGACACTAAAAGACAAAGAATAAACTCAACAAGCGGCCCCTCGCGTGTTGTATTCGATATTCCACCCCTGAGCGATCAAGTCAGGGATTTACTTGAAAGTGTGGAGTTCACTGCCGTTAGCAGAACCACCGTTGACGACCAAATCACAATATCGTTACATGTGATGGAGAAGATTGCTGAGAAGGTTCGGTAGCGCTACTCTAATCATCATTTTCATTTGGCTAACTCCAGTAGGTGGCTGAGGCTGGCCGTGTTGTGGAGATGAACAACCGCGAATCACAATATAAAGATGTCATATCTGGACTGGAGAAGCAAGTCAAGGAGTTTCAAAGAACCAACGATAGGGCTTACGAGTCTCACCGGGCGGCTCTTCAAGACCGCACTAAATTTGAGACTGACGCCCACAAGGCAGAGGCTGCGCTACAGGCGAATAAAGAAGCTTCTCAAGCAACAGATGATAAAAATCGACAGAAAATAGCACAGCTGGAGGAAGCTGTTGCCCGTCTCATGAAGGAGTCACCTGCAGGAGAGAACGAGAAGCTGTTTCAGGAGACCAATGCCAAGGTACAGGTTCTGGAGAAACGCCTAGAAACTTCACACAAGAATGAAGAATATGTTCGACAACTCTACCAGGATGCAACGGCCTCGACATCCGCCCTAAGAGCGGAAAACCAGACATTGAAGGAGGTCAGTGAAGATTTAAAGAAGAAAGCTTCGGACAATCTGAGAAGTATTCATGAGATCAACAACAACAACGCGGCTCGAGAGTACCTACGCCAGATATCTGACCTTCAGACCCGTCTTAAAGATAGGGAGATGGAGTTGGACCGCGCGCGTGAAGAACTACGCCAGTTGAAAAACGGACGGCGCGAGACCCGACAGGTCAGCGTTCCGCGAAGTCCACGTATGGGCATGATGAGCCCGCGCCCCGGGCGGACGGCATTTGGAGCATCGAGTAGAGCTGGAAGCCCTGTGCCAGCATATGATAATGCCACAGGAGTGCAGCCTGGCAATGGACGGTTCTCTCACCTTCGCGACTAACCAACCCGACATGTAATATCTCGATTTGTTCTTGTTCATAGGCATATCATTGCCAAACACGATAGTTTCCTGCTGCACGTACATAGATTAATCCGCAAGCAGGGTGGGATACGGTAGATGAGGGAGCCTGTGGTGAGCTTTAAACCTGAGTTTATAGAGAACTGGGGATCGATATACCCGAATTGATTTGTAAATTTGACACAAGGATTGGGGGCACACGTCAGACGGAGAATGATGATGGAAATGCAAGCTAATATAACAGTATGAAATTGAACAACCGCCTCAGCCGGCATCTCGCATCGTACCACGCGCTCAGCTTTCCCACTCCTCTAAATATAAAAATTACAGTAGTCCCAATAGGAACGACAACTGCTTTGTAGCCCTTTTCTCTTTACTGTGACTCGGGGTACAGATCCTCCTTCAGCGGGATACCGAGCTCCTCTCGCAGGGGCTTGAGGTCCTCGAGGTACTGCTCGTACTGGCCCTTGTTCTCGACCTTGGACTTGATGCCTAAAGAGTTGTCTCGAGTTAGCGGTCTGTTCCAGGGTGACATGGCACATTTCCCTTCGTTCACATGTCCTCGCTCTTTCCCGTCCGTCCGTCCGTGGACCCAGTAGAGCAGTGGGCCCATATGGCGGGACTGGCAGCAACGTACCCTCAAAAATTCGGACAGCGGTAGCGAAGTCGTTTACCCTTCTGGCGGCCTTGAGAGCTGCGGCGACGACGGCGGGTGAGGGGACGAGATCGTAGGCGAAGGCGTTGTTGAGGTTGCGCTAAAGTGGGAAGCTATCAGCCGGATGCAAACAATAGCCGAGATTGAGAACCACACATACCTGCAGCTCGAAAACATCCTGGACGCTGTCGAACTCCTTCTCGAACCTGCACGAGCATCGGTATTAGCAATTGAGTGCGATGCATTGCGTTGTTGGGTGCCGGCGAGGGCAATTGGGTCGGTCGGGGAACATCGCGTGGTTGAGCCGTTGAGTGGTTTCACGCCACTCCAAAAATCCAGCGACCGACGACGATGTATGCATTCATTGGCTCGACCAATTCGTCCCAATGAATCCGACATGGCGTGTTGCCCCAATTGCCCTCGACAAACGGACTCCGGAAAGCGGCTGCTCACCTGGCAGTGAACTCCTCGAAGGTCTCCTCGTGGCCGGATCGGCGAGGGACGGTGGTGCTGAAGCTCATGACGGCGGAGCGGGCCACGAGAGGAGCAGGGCGGGCGGCGACGCTGGCGCGGGCGACGGTCATGGAGGCGCTGCGAGCAGCAGCACGGAGGAGGACGGCGGACTGCATGACGGGCGGTTGTTTTGTGGTTGATGTCGAGGGAGAATTGACTGGCGAGGGGTGGAGTGGTTCCGGAGGGAGTGTTATGAGTGAACTAGCGGTTGGGTATTTTTTTCGCTCTTCGTTGGATTCCGGATGATGTGGTAGCAGATGGTTCGATTGCAGCGAGCGGAATGGGTCACTTTTGCAGGGCTGCAGCATGACTAATCGGGAATTTGCAGCTGTGATTGGTGGGGACAGTGCGGTTCCGACAAGTCTGTGGTGGTTTTAGGCGCCTCGAGCACGGTGTGTGGCTGCCCCCACCATGACCAGCCTGTCCCGTCATGCTGACCTTTATGGGGAGCTTTCATTTAGGGGTGCTCCAATTCGTCCTCATGGGCTGTCGGGAGCAACCGTAGAAGGAAGCGACATGACGGCGCTGTGAGGAGGCATTCCAGTCAGGCCATGGCTGCAGCACCCATTTGTGGTCAATTGGGTTGCCGATCCATCGCGAGCCTGCCTCGAAGGGGAACGCCTGGTCCCTCTGGGGTGAATTCTTCTTTTTCTTTGCAGGCTGGCCGTCAATGGTTTGCTGCGGCGGCGTGGACAGATATTTGAGCCGCTGGGAGGGATCGGTTTAGACCGGGTGCTCTCCAGGGTCAGCGACCATCCACTCAACGCATCCCGCACCTGATCGATACCTGACACACCTAGCAAGTCATGAGCATAAGGAATCGGCTCAATTCCATGTCGTGGTACATCGTATTTGACGATATGGCCGCTTCGCAGTTTACAACAAGTTCGTGACGAGGCGCGAACACTGTCAAAAGCCCCAAAAAGCCTCGTGACATGGGCTGGTGGTATACTTTTTGCTTCGAACGAAAGTATAAAGGCAGGCTAACGATATGTGAACAATACAATACCATGAGGAGGAGATGGTACCAATTGAAAAATAGGCAATTATCGTTACCAAGATCTAGGGACGATCGCTATTGGCAGCGACGCTACATTTCACTGTTGATAGGTAGCACCCATAATGCCCACGTTTCCAATCCCTGAGGGCTGTTGTTGTATTGCATCTCCTATAGGTGCTACAATCTTAACATGACATCGCACAGCTGTTGGCGCGGATAGACTTTGGGACCCTCGAACAAGATCGGGGTAGGAAAGTCAACTACCCCCGAAAGCCTCAAGGCTGCCGAGGCACCAGGCATTAACGGGCAATTACTCCTGCTGCACAAGAGCAGGGCAATTGGCAGGCGAACAAGGGACGGACATTGATAATTAGAATCTGGGCAAAGGTCACGTTTTGTCTCGGCGGGACCCGATCACAGAGCACTCCAGGTAGGGGATGGCTTCTGGGCTGGACCAATACAATGCTGTTTATTGTTGCACTGCTCGCAGTTGGGGCTGGTCCAGCACATCACATGCTAAACGACCGCCTACCTTACGTACGTCTACTGGTCGGGAGACTCGGTCGGGCCTTGCCAAGGCCCCCTTTTGCAGGCAAATCACCACCCAGCGATCGATTTCTCGCTCCGTGTATCCAGTACTTGTCCCCTGACAAGTGACGCTATCCCGCAGCGGACATGGCGCAGTCTGACTTACACTGCCCGCCCTAGGACACCAGGTGCGGAGGATCGGTTGCATCGGTTCCTCGCTTTCAATTGACCTGCTGCGATTGCACCCCATGATTTGACTGGAGCCCGCCGCTCCCGCAGGCCGTCACATTGAATGCATCGGGCGTATACGTCAATGCCTAGCATCTGCATGATGAAAGGTTCGCCGGGTCTATGTGCCTCCGACTCTGATCATGGCCACAGTAGGGGGCGCTGCTAGGCCAGTTCCAGACTAGCGGGGCACTTCTGAAAAGTATCCTGTACCTCAAAGGCTCGTGGAGTCCGTCCGTCGCGGCAGGACCGCGGTTTTGCTGGGCGTGCGAAATTTCCCCTTTTTGACGGCAATCTGTCTCTTGCCCTTATACTTTCTTTCCCTCTTCTTACCACAAACTTCTCTTTAACTTTTCTTTCCTAACACAAAAAGGTTCCGGCGCAAGTCAACCCGCGGCGCCCCGTCTTGCGTTCGCTTCTCTTCTCGTCATTCCTTCAATCCTGCTTCTTTGTTTCTTACAACCTTAGTTGTACACGTCGTCTGCAAGCCCTCGGCGCGCGATTCTGTTGCAATCGTGTTCAGAACTCTCGATACATACAACATCGTAACCTGTCAGACAAGAATCCAACCCGATTGTCTCGCCCATCATGTCGACTTCCCCGACGCTCTTTGAGCAGATTCCTCTGCCGACCCTCGATCGCCCATTTGGCATCCACCTGTGGTCACTCTTCGACAAGTTCTGCTGGACGCCTCTCCTGGGCTACTCGGCCGATGAATTCAAGTTTGTGCCTTTCGAGACACCCATGTCCACTCTCAAGTCGACCTCAATCTTCATTGTCGTCTACTATGCCATCATCTTCGGCGGCCGAGAGGCGATGCGCAACCGCGAGCCCTTTAAACTCAAGACTCTCTTTTTAATTCACAATTTTGTGCTTACGGCCGTCAGCGCCATTCTTCTTGCTCTCTATTTTGAGGAACTTCTTCCCACCGTTGTTCGCGGAGGCATCTTCCACGCCATCTGCCACCACGATGGCGGCTGGACCCAGCACCTCGTTGTCCTGTACTATGTAGGTTTCCTCTCCCGAACGATCCAACCAACATTCCGCTGTCCAGTTACTAACCTTGCGTTTCCAGCTTACCTACCTGACCAAGTATCTTGAGCTGCTCGACACTGTCTTCCTCTTCCTCAAGAAGAAGCCTCTCAGTATGTTCTCCTTCCCAGCACATTTACTTCGTGACTTGAGGTCTAACGAGTTCCATTATCACAGCCTTCCTCCACTGCTACCACCATGGCGCTACCGCTCTTCTCTGCTACACCCAGCTCATCGGCTCGACTGCTGTCTCTTGGGTTCCCATCACTCTCAACCTTGGGGTTCACGTTGTCATGTACTGGTACTACTTCCAGAGCGCCCGTGGTATCCGTATCTGGTGGAAGGAGTGGGTTACCCGCTTCCAGATCATCCAGTTCATCATTGATCTTGGTAAGAATTCACCACGGACACCCAATTATTGGTCAGCCAGGCCCAAGACTAACCTTTTCTGATAGGCTTTGTTTACTTCGCCTCGTACACTTACTTCTCGTCCACCTACTTCCCCTGGATGCCCAATGCTGGCAAGTGCGCTGGTGAGGAATTCGCCGCTTTTGCTGGAATCGCAATTCTCAGCTCCTACTTGGTCCTGTTCATCTCCTTCTATCTCGCGACTTACAAGAAAAACCCCACCAAGACTACCCGTGCGTCTCTGCGCCGCATGAGCCAGGCTCCTCTTCCCGACCCTCTGCACGTCGCCGAGGCTGTCAGCGGAAAGGCAAATGGCAAGACCACTGGTGCCAAGCCCAACGGTAGCAAGACGAACGGTGCCACCACCCGCTCCCGCAAGGCCTAAGCACCACATAGTGTCCGACCGTTCCAAGATTGATACATTCCGAAAGGACAACTGATTCTCGTCAACATCAAATACGGGCGTTTCGAAGTGTACAAAAATCTCGAGGTGACTGGGAAAGTATGCGTATTTATCAAATGAAATTTTGGAGACGGATTTTCCAGGAGAATAGTTTTGGGGCTTATTTCTGTCGGACGAAAACAACATACAAACAAGAGGTGGGGGGCACATCTCTTGAGTTACTCATGATAATGGGAGTGCGAACTTAATGTCTACATCTTGTTGCATCAGGCGAACTGGGGGACGGCACATGTCTGGGTTTGATTCTTGAAAGACGGGGAAAAAGGAATGGAACATAAGGCTCTTGTATCTGCGGGAGAGGTTCAGTAGCCTATCGGCTCCCTTAATAGTTCTCAGTGCGTGCTGTATATACAGATGCACATCGAGGATGTGTTTGGACGAAGAACCGGGCAAAGCGGTGCTCTTAATCAGTTCTGGGTCTGGTGTAAAATATGTTTAGTTGTTATGAGTTATTCTGGAGCTACGTATTCAATTTGGTTCAATAATGAGGGCCGTTACCCACACCAGCTATATCTGAAACAGGTCTTGAATTCTAGCGTGGAACGTGGATCAGGGTATCCAGCCAACGCAAAAAGGGTCTTGAAAACCAGTCTGGAAAAGGTCTCGCAACGCGAGCACAACTTCGCTACAGGAGAAAAGCCGACAGAGGCGAGACGAGAGGGCATAGCGGTGGCCAAGAAATTCCTACAGTCGATCTTTAACCGTGTCCATGCTTTCCAGCAGAGCCAATGTAACCAATCCGCGAAGAAGGATCTGTTGGTGGTAAGGGTACCGGCAAACCTGGGGGATCGCCAAGGCGTCATCATCCAGGAGAGTGGCCGGATACCTTGTCCCAATATATAGGATCACAATTTAGGTAGCTGGAGACACTTCCTCAGATAGAGTGCCCCCGTTCGTCTATAAATACAGCAAAGTGTGACTATAATAATATTATTATTGTTCCTATATCTCATTCTGGTTCGGCCGGTTGCGCCGAAGATCCCTTCACGTCACCAACCATTGGTGATCCCTGAGGGTTGCAGGCGAAGACCGAACGAATGGGTGTTGGGGGTGATCACCAGTGGGCCTGGGCCTCCGAAACAGTGAGATGATTGACTGGATCACACGCGCCTGGCACATTTTCACTTGAGAAAAGTAGAGTTCTTCAGGTTGTTTGAGCAGTGGGCTTGCTCCGACCAACAGGCCGCCCCTGCATATCTCTGTGTAAGCGCTCGTGGGATTAAATCACACCCAAAGGTTCTGGCGTTGGGTAGAACGGCCCCCATATTATTGCCCAGGAATAATCAGGCTAGTGATAGAGCTTACATCTGTCGTCCTGGGGGAGAACACGGGTGTCGGAGGTGCAAGTCGTCGCTGTACTCTGATTGCGGGTGCCGAGGTCCAGAGGACCTTGAACAGGTAATTTAGAGTCTCCAGCGCTGTTCCTCTGCGCAAGTTTCAGCGTCGATGCCAGCGGATTCGGCTGCCTTTATTTATATCGCAATATGCCTTTACAGGCTGCGAAACGCGGGCCTAAAGTTCTAGCGGGCGGGCTCGTTGGCTGGCGCGCTCTTGCAGTCCGGGGTTCAATCGGCTCGAGAAGCAGCCAGTCAATGATTTCTGGGCGATACCTTAGGTACCTGGAGCTAGCTCCGTAGGCCACTGGAACCCCGGTCAGGATGGATTTTGGGCGCTCACGAGCATGATATCACGGCAACGGCAGCTGCCCTACCTGTGGCATGGCGCCCGCCTAACCTGACCGGCCAAGTGGATTGATTGGTGGCACCCTGCAGCTGCCCGTAGCAGAGGGGAAGCAACGACTCCCGACAGACATTAATTACCACCTTCCATCCCATCAGCTGCTGCTGCTCGCGGGCTTTGGCCGGCGTCATCTCTGTGTTTCTCTCTCCCTTGTCTTAATATCTAATTCTATCATCCCATTCTCTCTTCCGTCCCGAACCAAACTTGTGACAGCTTCCCCCACCCCACAAGCAACCATCATGTCGTCGCTCTTACGCAAGTTCAAAAAGAGCATTAGCAGCAGCAACAATAGCAAAGGCAACAGTCGCAGGGGCAACAATAGCAATGGCAACAATAGCAATGGCAACGACCAGCAAGCTTCCGAAGGCCGGAAACCTTCCAATAAATCCCTCCATGAGCCCCAACCTACCTATCGCTCACCACAGCTTCTTGCTATCCTTCCTCCCAGAGTCCTCCAACGCATATTCTCGTTTGTGTGCCCCCACTCGCTCGATGAGAGCTACGAAACGTGCGAGAGCAGCGCTGTCAATAGCGCCTGCATGCTCTGCGACTTGCGGCTACTGTCGCACTGCCTTCTCGTGTGCAAATCATGGCGCAAGGCTGGCGTGCCAGTCCTGTGAGCTTCCCATCCACCCTTAGCTGTGTGCAGCCTCGCTGACCGCCTGCCTACCAATCCAGATATCACAGCATACGCATCGACCCCGTACACTACTGCCCAGAAGAAGCCAAACTGGCAGAAAAACGAAAGAAGTCGCGTTTCGATCGAAATGCGATCCCCGAGGATCCGGCACAGGCCAGATTGCGCCTGCTGCGACGCACCGTGCGCGACGATCCAACAAGGCTTGGAAAGCTAGTCCGATACCTGAAGATTCCCTACATGATTCGCGAGTCCTGCCATGTTGAGCTGGCCCAAACCATAGCAGTTCTCCCTAACCTGCATTATGTTGACCTACCAGAGGGCATGTTCTCTGATGAGCCCAGTTACACCACCCTTCGCCTCGAAGTCCAGGCCCGCTGTCCCGGCATTCGCAAGATGACCTATAGCAGAGGTTCAGAACGCAGTTTGGCAGAATTATCGACGGGTCGGATCTGGACGCAGCTGGAGGTCCTCGAAATAGACAATATCCGTATCGACCCCATTACTTTGAGAAACGTGCTATCCTCTCTCTCGAACCTTCGCGCCTTCCAGGTTTCACGAACCGACAGCCTGACAGATCAGGTATTGATATGTGAAGACGGAATGCCATCTTTACCTCCTCTTGAGAAGCTGGTCCTGCGAGACATCCCTCATGTGACCGTTACCGGGATTATATCGTACTTGGCCTGGCAGGAGACACAGCAAGCCTTGAAGGTACTAGAGCTTCTTAACACCGGAGTGCACCCTTCAAGCACGCAGGAGATCCTTCTGAGGGGCACCAGACTCAAGTCTTTATCCTTGCAAACGCAGATATCCGAGCCATTCCCCAATGGTGCTGGCATACGCCCATTGGCCTCTAAGTCGCTTGACACTCTGCATTTCGAAATTTCAGGACCTTCTCGCACAGGCCCCTACTCGGATCTTGAGAGCGGCTACTACAGCTACCTTGCCTCGTCGATTCTTGGAGGTGGATTGCCGAGGCTACGTAAGCTCTACGTCCTCGATGAGACCATGCCTATACAGCTTCAAGGTCTCACTCCTCCTGGGGCTGCTTTTGCGTCAAATCGCGCCAGATCTCGAAGTTTCACAGCTTCCACATCGGGACCACTGCTTCCCTCCTTGAAAATCCCAGAAGCTCCTGGTGGCCATTCGCTATCGCCACCCCAAGCTCATCGTCGGCCACTTTCCAATATAACACCTCCCAGTCCGAACCGGCTTAGTTCTAATAATCCTTTCGCCACCGGGAACCCTAGGTTTGCTCCACCGCCGACACACACACTCGAGGTGTTTACCAAGAGCGATGAACTAGGGAGCTGGAACTTTTCGCGTGTCAACTCCTCTGCGTACATGGACTTCGGCCACGGCGACACGGGCAGGCCAGGAAGCAGCTATGGTCTTGGGGCAGAGCTTTCCAGAGGAGCTTGGGATGCCAGTGAGGCCAGAAGAAGCGTCATGGTTGGGAATGGAACGGGTGCCTTTTTGGCCGTTCCCACCAAGCAAGAGAATCCTTTTGGTGGCTCAGACAGCAGATTCTCGGGTTCTACCGACTCATGGAGGCCAAAGAGCAGTGGCGGAGACTCCTTTGCATCGAATCGCGATTTGTGGAGGTAAATGAAGGTTTTGTGGCAAGATACCAACAATGTTTATAACGCCTCTGTCTTATGCGTTGGTCAGGGAATGCAAAACCAGGTGGGCCTAAGATCTTGGGTCCCATGCAAGGACAACGCTTTACGGCATTGCACAGGTGCTAGACACTTGTGGCCATTATCGGGAAGTGCAAGAATTCTTATGGAAGATGAGCTGATGTACCAAAAGACAAGGATCCTCTATGGGGGAACATGGAGGAGCTCAACAAATTAATGCAGACAGTGGATTTAATTATCGGTGTTTAGGTGGCAATGGTCTGTTTTCTGGGCTGAATGATATTTACCAGAGCAAGGATGTCCCTTGCCCACCACTATAGCATGGCATACCCATCTCTAGATCAAGGAGAACGACCTGTGATTTACGAGGCGGTGCCATCCGGGTGACAGAAGAGATGAAACACCAAATGTCTAGTCCTGCTATTTTTTTGGTGTGGTGATGAGTAGTTTTATTACCCCAGGCCGAGAGTAGACAAATAAACAGACAGTACACTCTATGCCATCGAATCATATCATTGTTATTTCTGTACTGTTATGGTTATCGTAGATGACGCTCTGCTCATCAATGTAGTGTCTCATTGCTTCTCCTTTATCACTCAGGCGCATATATCGCAACTACCTACCTTGAAGAGCATCAATAGTTCTTTTTGATCACGCAGCTCTGACGGGACTCATTGATCATACACATATGAACACAACAGACATGGTCAAGGCAAATCCCAGGCTAATGAACTCGTCGATGTTCCTGAGTCAGTTCCAACTTGATGTCAGGTACGTGCCCGATGCGCTCTCTAGGCTGCCAACGAGAGGTGAAGACGAACTTAATGAGGGCGTTAGTGAGCTCGGCGAGGTTTGATCGAATTTCTAGTTCGCATCGCACATAACAGGAGTATCGGAAGAAACGAAACCAAAAGTTTACTAAGGGATATAAGTCAGACAAGAGAATGAGACGCGTTATCGCGACGCTGGAGGAAAGGAAATTGGAGAGTACATGACAGACATGAGGGCCAGATCCAACCGCATAAAGGGACATGAGTGTTTTCAAACCCCCCCGTGAGTTTGCATGCATGTCAAGTTTGAGTCGGCTTACCCTTTACGATTGGATAAAGAGATTCAAACGTTGTACTCGTAGCCAATGGTAGCAATGATGGTTGGCCTACTATTGTTACAGAAACCGGCTGGTCACAGACCAAAGCTTCTTTGGTTGCTAAGGTGTATTAGTAGGTTGAAGCTTCCAACCGGGCAGTTGAGATTGTTCTCTCGATCCTTGTATCTCCACTGCAAATCCAAATCGAGAAGTGGAAGATCAGTCCTTTGCAACTGTCAAATCTGTGACGAGGATCATAGCATGGTCGGTTGACCGGTTCGATCCTGCTACTGATCTCAATGCAACAGACATGTATGCATCGTAAAGCTCCACAAGCACCAGGTCGACCTAATACCTACCTTTGAGCTCCTACCCTCTAAAGAGAAGCTACTATCTACGCCCTAACGTACATACGCCTGTTCTGACAATCAATCAAATATTAACTGATACCCCTTCTCATGATTACAGGGTGAATACTAATCCCTTGCGGCTGGAGTTCCATGATGTATTTCTTCTGAGCCCAATGCCAAGCGAGCTTGAATCTTCCTCTCAGCCTCCTCATGTTCGTCACAGGTACACAAAAGGAGGCGCAGGTAGCACCTACTCAACATCTTTGCAGCAGAAATCACGGCAAGCATTTGAGAATATAATCAAGAGGAAAGGAGTCACTGGAATCAGTGTACACAGTTCATCATCTATGATAGAGGTATAGAATCTTGCCACTTCCCCATTCATAGATATGTGAATACCTTACAATGATTCAAAAACTCGAGGTATCTAGACAGAAAGAAGGCCTATATCTATATGCCTATCAGCAGCTACCTGAAACCAATAATTCTTGACTGTACGTAAAGCTCTCCGCGCCGACCTGCTGCTGAACGAGATACACTTTCCCTGCGTAGAGAGTGACTACGAAATGGTCGTAGCTCAGCGACCGGGGTTAAACAGCCGCATTAAGCAATCGGCAAGATGCGTTCATTACGGAAATCATGGCAATGGCCAGACTCAGAAGGTCAATACGCATGACAGATGCGCATCAGCGCCATTCCGGTTTGGCCCACCCACCATCAAAGTGTTTGCAGCCCTAAAGTGAGGGGTTTTCATTCCACCCGGGTTTCATCGATAAATACAACCCGACGCCCCCCCTCCAAAAGTTGGTTGCATCCAATGCTTTCTTGTTTTGTTGCTTGAAATGCGTTGTTTGGGTTCTTTGCTCCAAGAGGCCTGGTGAAGACGTTGCGCTGCGAGGACATGGAAAAAGGACGTGGACAGGATTTCCGTAGGCCAGTCATTGCTGCTAGCCCCACACCTGGCCGGGATTTAGCTAGATATATATATGAAAACTAATTAGCCCTGAGTGTCCTTCGGGACATTTAGTCTATTTAAAACGATACAGTAAGTTGCTCCACCAAGGTCCGACGTTCGATTCTGTTCAATGCTAACATCCCAACTTTAGGAGAAGATTAGCATGGCCCCAGCACATGGATGACACGCTCAATCAAAGAGAAGCTACAAATTTTTTTTTTTGGTTTTTGTTTTATTGATATCAGTAGCATCTAAAATCGCACGGTTCACGGAGCCAGATTGAACATGCATTGCTTTGGAACTACGATAGCTCCCCCTTCCCCCACCCGCCCATGAGCCACTGATAATGTTAACATCCCTCTGTTGTCGCCTTGCTGAATGATCAAGTAAATAGCTTCTGCACTAAGATGAGATGGTAAATTTGCTACGTGATGCTTGTGAGACTACCGTAACTATATCCAGCGTCAGCAGAGCTCTGATGTCTGTGAGTTCGGCGAAGACGACGGCTCGACAATCGCAGCGGAGCGAAGTCGGCACCTGCGCCACTTCTGTTGATGCAAACAAGTGTTTTCGTTTCATTCCTACCATATTGACGACTCTGGACGCGATAAAAACGCGTAGGGGCTAGACGCTTCGGTCGGGCTCTTCGAGGTGTTAGTATATTAATTGCATCGTAGCCAAAGATTCCAGATTCTCATAGCGTACACGCAAGCAGGCATTCTTCCCTCGCGAGTATTGCTAGGCTCAGTGGATAGGATTTGCGAGCAGCTATTACACCATCCTAACCTGTGGCCAAAGCTACAATCAGTCCTCGCCATGGATAATGTTTCCATTCATCGATCATAGCAAGTATAAGAGTTTTGTAATACATATTATTTGCGCCTTAAGTTCTACTTATCCCATTTCAACCGCCATCTCACCTTTAATACCATGGGCCACGGTAGCGTAACCAAGCAAGTCGGTGTCAGATTAACAGGGGCTGCAAAGTTGATAGAGGCCACGATATTGATAGACAATAATGAACAATAATGATGATGATAACACTAGTAATAAATTATTGAGCAATCATTAGATAATATTGTCTGTTTACTATTACACAATGGAAAGCATCATGGTGTGATTGGCTGCCACAACAATTCTGCCGAGGTGACTTTGCAGTCCTCTTTTTCTGCTAACTACGTGTACCACCAATAAGGGTCATATTTTCTCCGTGATTCAAGCGAATCATCTGTGAAGGCAAAGAGTAGTTCCCGAGACGCTACCAATGAAGGGTGGTTTTCCGAGCATGTTTTCTCCCTCATCATAATCACATGAGCCAGAAGATCAATTGCCTTCTTTGTTTGCCCGTCAGCTCTGTATACTCGTGCGAGTGCATGCTGTGAGCTTAATAGAGATGGGTGGCCCTCTGATAATGCCTCTTTTTGGTTTTCAACCAAATAATCGAGCGTTTCAACTGCTTGAGTTATGTTTCCTTTATCTTCTAATACTCTTGCGTATGTATACCATGTGTCAAATAAATCTGGGTGGTCGGCTGATAATGCCTTTTTTCTAACCCTAAGCACATACTCTAGTAGTTTGGTTGCATTCTGTGTCCGTCCATCATCTCGGTATGCTTTTGCGAGGAGAAGCTGTGAGGCTAATCGATCCGGGTTGTCCTCTGGTAATATCTTCTCTTCAATTGCAACCACATGCTTTAGCAGTTCGACTGCTTTGTCTCTTTCTCCGTTGAGATGGTATGCTCCTGCGAGTTGATGCTGTGAGGCTAATCGATCTGGGTGATCCTTTGAGAAATTCTTCTCTACAATTGCAACCACATGCTCAAGTAGTTTGACTGCTTTCTCTAAATCTCCATTGTCTTGGTATGCTCCTGCGAGATCTCGCTGAAAGTCCAATAGATCTGGGTCATCCTTTGGGAATAAATTTCCTTCAATTGTAACCACGTGCTCAAGCAGTTTGATTGCTTTCTTTACTTCTCCGTAGGCTTTGTATGCTCCTGCGAGTAATGCCTGTGAGCATAGTCGATAAGGGCCATCTTCTGGTGATCCCTTTTCTTCTATTATAACCACACGCTCTAGCAGTTCGACTGCTTCTTTCATCCGCCCATCATGACGCAGGCACACGCTAACATGGCATCCCAATTCACAAATCTCTTCATTCAGGTCTTCCGGTGTTGCGTGAAGGACTTTTAGAGCGTGCGGAAAGTATTGCCGCCACAGCTCACGATCTTCCCAGTCACCATCTGGAAAGATCTCAACGAGGTGCCTCGTTGCTACCCGTGACTGTTCTCTCTCAGGGTCGTGACTTGCAGTCCATAACTGTGTGGCCAGATGCACTAGACTATGCATATCGTATATCGCGCTGTCTTCTCGTTGACTTAGGAAACCGTATCCACAAAGGGTGCCGACTGCGCTTGTCATCCTTTGTTCAGACCCTAGACTAGGCAGCAGTGTTCGAGGTATGGATTTGGGCTCAATGCAAGCTATAAACTGCAGCAATCTTGCAGCATCCTCATCTGTGTCGCGAATTTGGTTGAAAGATACAATCCACGTAGTGGCGACCGCGCCCTGGTCTCTTTGGTAATGGCTGCCGTCACGAAACCCGCACCTCAATAGCTCTATCATATCCTGATCTGTGTTCTGGAAAAGCCGGATATAGTCCTTGATTGACACCTTTTTCTGATTCATGTATGCCGATGCTTGCGCGATGGCAAGGGGTAAGCGAGTGAGCCTCTGCAAAAGCTCGTCGACGAGGCCACCATCTTTTATTTGATTGTTGTCAATTAAAGATTTCCCTAAAAGGTCTTTTGCCTCTGCCAAACTCATCTCAGGAAGTTCAAGGATATTGACCGTGACATTGGTGGCAACCTCACGGGATCTTGTTGTGAACAAGATACGCCCGCTCTCACTATCGGGAAGGAAATTGATGATTCCGCCTGGTTGATCATCTGGTCCATATAAAATGGCCATATCATCAGCATTATCAATGATAAGAAACCATTTTCCGGCCCTGTCAGAGTTGAGAAAGTCTCGGACTGTTTGTTTAGGATCTTCGTCTGCAGCGCTTGGAATCGCAAAATCTCTAATGATTGCAGTACACGCTTGCTCAAAACTGGCCATGCTGAAGGCGGAGATCCAGAGGACTGAGTAGTTTCTCTGTTCAAGTTCATTATTCTTCATCAGATGTGCAATTCGCAGAGCAATCTGAGTTTTACCCATCCCGCCTAGTCCGACAAGGGCGACCCGTTGGTGATCTGAATTGGCGAAGACGAGCTGCTGAAGGTTGTCGATTATCTCCTGGCGTCCTACAAAATTTCTGCTTTTTGGAAATGGAAGATAGTGTTTTGTATGCTCTAGTATAATGTTAGTGGCCAAGTAGCAGGACTTGGGAGTATATTGATTCAACTAACTGGTGGTAAATACATTGCTCCCCTTGGCTTCCGTGGTTAGATCGCTCCGTGGTGAAAGCGTTTCGTTCCTCTCGCCGATCTCCGACGTCAAAAATAATAGCTCCCCGACAAGTCTCTTGAATCCGTTCTCTTCGCCGGAGGAGAATTTAACCATATCTCTATGATTTGCGTGGATGCTGATCGGGTCGTAACCCTCGAAAGTAGCTGACTCTTTAGACACAACTTTTCCAACTACAGGAAGAGGCAGCTCCTCAAAAAAGCACCGGACCTCAAGCTTTCTTCCTGCTTCACGCTGTTGCCGTACCATCGCCAAGAATCTGAGTTGAATAGACTCAAGCAGTTGGTCATCAGTTTCCAGAATCCGGAGAAGTGATTTGTTGGTTGACTTGAACAAGCCGAGAGCAGAAGCGGGCACCTTAGCCCAATCAGCCACCCAGGCCCCTTTATGAGGAGTACTCATGAAGATGATGCCTTTGAGATTTAAGAAAATATCTTGGCGACGTCGTTCCGGGTTGTCTCGCGAGATCAGGATAGCCTCCTTGCAGACAAGACCACCTAGGCTGTGGGCGACGAAGATGAGAGGGCGAGACGAGGCACCGCAACCCGCCCTGTCAGCTGTCAAATCTGTGACGAGGTTCGTAGCGTGGTCAATTAGCCGGTTCGCTCCTGCCCTTGCTGATCTCAACACAATATATGCATCGTATCCGTACGTGAGTATTCGGGCTCGGTTGATTTTGACCGGAAGGAGCGTCTTGGGCCAGGGTTCAGCTCGTCCGTCTCCTGCTCCCCCTCCCGCTCCCCCTCCGTCTGCGGTCCAAGTGCTCGTGCGATTTCCTGATAAGCCATGAACAAAGACAATATCCACAATAGCATCAGGACAGTCGTGTAAAACTTTAACACCGTCTGGAAAACTAGGCGTGATAGGATCTGTAACGGGCTGTGAAGGATCGAGTGGGGCAGTTGCACGGTCTCTTCCTTGTTGGGCAACAGAAGAAGACGGCCGCTTCAGGAAACGTTTGATGAACCCCATGGTTCAACTCCATTAGAGAGGGGCCAGTGAATACGATCTCTCTAAGGTGAGGAGAGGATCAAGAGAGGGGAACGAAAAGAAAAGAACTTTTGCAATAAGGAGCGGGCGGGGAAAGATTTGGCTTATGTTCACGACACTTCGTATCACACCTACCCGCATACTGATCCCTGTTCAAAGATGTGTTGGTTGGACACAAGTGGCTGAAACAACATATGGCTTACTAAATCCTTCATCCAGCGTTGAATCTCGATACAACATCAAAACAATTAACCTAGTGATAGACATAATATCAAGCTAAATATATTACAAAATAATTGATCATTTTATTCTTATTGTTTTTGGTATTAACAATAAGAAAACGAGGCTTCTGGCTTGAACGAAAAGAGCTGTGGTATGCCATCTTTTATCTCAGTCGCTTGAGGCAGCAAGTATCTTCCGGCCTCTAATACTAGCAGGCGGGCTACTTACTTCTTGCAGGCGCCACAAATACTGCTTGCATTAACTATTGCTTCCTATATGCCAGTAGGCTAGCAGCAGGGCTGCAGGTTTATATCATATTTGTGTTACATGAGGGCTGTATTCAATAACGGCCGGGCCTTGAAGGCCAAGGTAAATTAAACAGCCCAACGGCATCGCTAATCGTAGTTCCGAACGTCTTGATTGGAAGACTAAAGCCCAGTGCCACAGAAGATACATTGCTTGCCAGTCGCTTGACTGGCATAAAACATGGCACACCCAGAACCTCCAACGTTAAATTTCGACACAATATCACAACAGTCAACGTAGGAATAACATAATATTAAGCTGAATATTGTAGAATATTCTGACATCTTCTTAATATTGTACTTTGTATTATTGATAAGAATTTAGGTCATAATATTACAAAAAAAGGGCTTAGATGGTACATGTTGTTACCTGACAAGGTTATTCTACACTTTTCTTTTCTTTCTTGGTTTTCCTTTCGCCCTTTTCTCCCCACCCACCTGTGCTTCTTCTTTTTTGTTTCTTTTAATAAAAATTATCATCTTGTGCACTCACTCTGGCGGCTCCTCTCCAATCATTTCAGCGTGACGGAAGTGTCACATTGCACTTACCACCCGACCTCCAAATCAGACCACACACCACTCTAAGAAGCCATCAAAGTCCAAATCAAGATAGCCTCTGTTATTGTACCCGTTATGCTTGGCAATTGCCTTGAGCTACGCAAAGAACTTTCTTCGACCGGGTTGAAGTTGGGAGAATAAGATGGCAGGTAGCACAAGCAACTCCATACCGACATTTGAAGTGTCATCTCTGAAGCTGGGATTACGTCTGAAGTTATTCCTCCCTGAGTGCCTAGTTAACCTAGCATTCAGGCATCATCTGATCTCAAATATTTTTATGCCTTGCCCTAGAGTGTTTTTCAACAACGAGGTGTCAAGGTGTGTCAAATCCTCATCCACCTAGATAATTCTCCACTGCGCAGACGTCTAATCGCCGGCGCTGGATCGTCGTTCTACGATCCCTTCGGGAGCCCTGTTATGGCCGTCCTGTATCAGTGCCTGAATATGAAATTCCCCATATTTCTGAACCTTGTCCATTACTCTATGGGAACAATACTCTCATTGAATGATCTGACAACCGTCACTCCGTCTCGACCTACGGTAGCCCGCCTACCCTAAAGTTCCATCAAACTGGACGATGATGATAGCACTTCACACATTCATATACGCAAATACGGTAGTAACAACTAGACGAGCATGGAATCTAGTCCCCGTGGATTCAGGACACTGTATAAATAAATAAAAAATAAAAAATAAAACAAAAGTCATTTAGGTGGTTCCTTTGAGCTGCCTAAATTTCATTGTCACGCTGAAGAATGACTCGGTTATCAAAAATGTATGAGTACAAACGCTTTCCGTGGGCGTTTTTGCGGCACAAAACTGCAACGTTCCCTCCGAATACCGCTTATTCAATAGGGGATACTGGGGCAATTGACTGCCATAATAGTAAGGTATGCTCCCAAGCCGTCAATGCAACCATGGCCACTTAACCCCCAGCTTCCAAGAAGAGTCGGGCAGACCGCGCTACTGATGATCTGTCCTGTTCAAAATCCGAGATGCCCTTTCCGCAGTATCGGATCGGTGGTATTTTTTCCAATGCCTGGGTCGTGGGCAGTTGAACTTTGAGCATTCACATTGGATGGGGAGTGGGACGTTTGCACGCCCCCTTGATGGAAGGGGTGGATTGATAGGCAGCTACAGCGCCACAGGAAGGGATGCGGCAGTCATTCGATTACAGCACGACTATCCATATCAAAGGTGGCTCTGGCAGGCAATATGCAATAGTCTTGCCAGGCAGGAACTTAATGACGACCTATTGTTTGTTCGGTGCCGCGCAAGTAACTGTCAGAAAAACGGCACTGCGAAGGTTTGTCGACTGTCTAATACGAGCCCCATTGTCTAGAGAGAACAGCTCAAAGGACCGATCAATTATTAGGATTGGGGTTTATCGCTTGGTTAGGTAATGAACTCTGTATATTAAACAAAGGGACCATTGCAAATTAAGATGATGTATTATGCCACCATCGCCCTGGTGAGGGCGCTCGGCGATTCAGCTGGAGCCAGTGCCGGCCGCGGGCTGTGAACACATCAGATGACATCCTTGATCTACATTTCTGCAGGCGTTTTCCAAGGGATTTCAGCCTTGATCATCGCAGACCATTGTACACAGTCTGAAGAAGCCAGAGACAAATACGGGAACCTAAATTTCTGGGGAACCAGAAGCTGGGATGAACAGCCGGTTCTAGATCGATACGGAGGCCCTAAGCACCAGTGATCTGAAATGTGACGCCACACGTCTTCCTCTTCCGGGAACCAACCCTGCATCGGAATGCGATGTGGCGTCTCCAGCCACCCCCAGATCAACTACCGGGTTGAGATACCGGTGGCAACGTGGCTGAGGGCGCCAGTCTTCAGACCATTGGATAGCGCTGAAGTAAGGCGGGTCTATTACGTCAGTTTTTGGGGGCACGCGAGGGAAACAAGTCGCAACGCTATTCCTGGTGGTATGGTGCCTGGCTGCGATAAGAAGGTTATCGTGTATTGGCTGGCTGTGACCACCTGATGCATCGTGGTCGAGAAATGAGTGATGCTACCTGCTACTCTGTCCATTCTTCGTTTCTCTCGGCCCTTCTTGCGCCAACTCCCAAGTGCTCTGCCGGCGGGGTAGCCGGTGCAGACTCTCGGCTTAGCCGCATCTTTGCTAGGTGATGCTCAATGCACCAACCGTGGCACGGAGGAAGGGCATTATCTCGGGATGAACATGAAATAGGCGGTGATAGGCATGGCTTTTCAGAGCTGCATATACCCACATTTCCTCACTGGTCAATGAGGTTTGGACGTACCATTCACACCTATGCACATGTAAGGCACTTGGGCAGGTACCTGCATTGTCCTGTCTGTAGACTTCAGGTGGGAATAATGGGGCTGGCGAAGAGGCATGACATGGCGAGATAAATCATTAAACAGGACCGATCGTATCACAGCTCTGAGATCGCGCTCGATCAGATTTACCGCCCGTAGCCACCACTCACCGCTATCCCTCAAACGGAGGTAGGTGCTTCGTCTCATTCCTCGTGGTGGTTGTGTCCCGGAATCTAGGACAGATGAACAACACGAACAACGCACCGTATGGGCTCCATCATGCCCACCTGCAATGGGGGAGAAGGTACATTGAGTTAGTGTGTGAGTGCAAGTGTGTGGTGGGGACTCTTTCGTCCAGCCAGTCTGGTGTGAACGATGGATGTTCAGCAGATGGCTCTGAGGCACACCAAATCAAAATCCTTCTCCGAACGGCGCATGCCATCCAAAGACCGACCCGGGACCGATCCAATCCATGAGCTCGCTTTCACCTCAGACCCAAGTTAGATCTGCAACTAATGGAAGACGGCAATTCTTATTGTCTTGATTCAGGTCGTGGTTTACATATTAGTATAGACCAACAAACGGAGGATTTCATAGAGTAGAGAACCGGGGAGGGTGAGATAGTAATAGCAACAGCCCCAACCGTCTTCAGTTAGGCATCTTGTCTGTTTTCGGGAAGACGCAAACCTCCAGGCCTAAAGGATCAGAAAGTGTCCAACGGTGACTTTATTTTCCTCCGGTCTACCATTTAAGATAGCAAGGATGGAAGCTGGTGCTACTACCGGCATTTCCACTCACTGTGTCGTGACCTGGAGTGTGATACCACACCTCAACTCCCCCCACCCAATCTAGGGACTTGGCAACAGCTCATCCTACTGGATGGGGCAACTTTCCAACCAGATGGTGTTAGGTCCAGTTTATGTCCGGCGTCGTTCTTTTTTTACTCACCTCTGCCGTCTAAATATGGGTATTTTCTCTTGTGCTGATGTCACTTTCTTTTCTCCGTATTTTCCTCTTGTGGGGTGAATATGAATGCTTGAAATGTGAAATCCCCATGGAAGAAAGCTTGCTGAACGCCCAGTGCTGGCACTATGCTATCGAGTGCCAGTCAAATGTGGATGTAGGTGTGTGAACACACGATGGAGAAAATTTGCATCGCCATGGGATGGGAGGGTCGCATCGCGCAAATGTCGGTCTGCAAGCACTTGGGATCGCCCACCAGGCTCTTCTTGTACACCAGGACCAGAGCCAGCCATGCGGCAGGAGGGATTAGGAGGGTCCGTCCTGTGCCATTTCGCCATTTAGCAATGTCACCCGGCCCGTCTGATCTGTAACGGCGTGGTAGGTATTATGTAGGAGCAGGCCGAAATGCATCTGGTGGTGACTTGTCCTGTGGAGCACCGCAGTTAGTGGTAGGCGAAGGAAAAAATCCCCGTCATATTGCAACCTGCAGTAATAATGCTGTATGACGGACGGCTCGCTTCTGCACTTCTATTCATGCTGTCTAATATACCCCGAGTCTCGTTAATACTGGCATTAATGAACGAAAATGGAGTGCATTAGTAGGCAGGAAACAGCAGAAGAGGAGGCTGGCACCGCGTCTCGACCCAGTCGCTGCAGTCCAATGCTTGGGTGCAACACTGGCGATTGGGCGACGCATCTCTGCAGCAGTAGCCGCCAGCAAAGAATCCGAGCCCGGCCTGGTGTCGTAAGTGAGGGCCACATTCTGGTGCGTTGGCGCCTTGCTTCAGTCAGTCATATCGTGCCAAGAACATAAGTCGGCGGCAACAGCTACCCTCCCTAATGGCTATGATGTGCAATGCACGCACGCAATGTCTCCAGTTAAACGCTTGGGAAACCAATACATGTGCATCGCATTTCTTGCAGCCGGTACACTGTGGCCGTCTATCTGCAAGGAACCGTCTCAGCCGGCCGGATTCCAGCCAAGGGCGGCGGTAATCGACACACCAAGGGACGAGAATGGCCGCTAGTGCTTCTTCAGCCGAACGACGCCCGCAGCAGCCACATTGGGGCACATGATTCTGTAATGGCGTCTGCCTTTTGTAAGATATAGATGTAGAGACGCGTAGAAGAACGGCAGCTAAGAATAAAATGTCAAACCAACGAGGTTTGTTCAGCAGGGCTAGTGCCGTACAGCCTCATGCCATGTTTAGCATCAGCGTAGCCTAGCTCGGACGCAGGCTTGGCATCCACTGAGTGAGGTGAGTGACCGGGCCAGGTAGGAATCCAATGATTGGCTTCATTCGACGGCACTATGATCAACGACTCAACCGAACAGGGGCACAGCTTATTGGGCCCCCCCTGCCCATGATTTACATGGCTCCCACGGGCTAGCAGGTAGAGGGACGTTGGCACGTTGGTTCCCTTTCCCAGCAGCCAGCCTAACTTATTTATGTTGGACGGCCTGACTTAAAGACACACATTTTCGTCCCGTCCTTTCGCGGATGGTAACTGGGTAGTGGTTGACATGCTCAATGGCCGAGCATGCCGCCTATTTCTGACAGCGATGGCGGTCTGCGAAATAATCGTTGGCGCGAAGATGACGGTCGGCTTCGCCTTAGATTTAGGTCTCTCCGTTGGTTCGCCTCTTGGATCGCGAAAGAAGGGCATTTTGGCTGGCTGGAGCCGCCGAAACCGCCTAGGCCGAGAGGCACAGTGATACTGCGATGGTAAGACGATTTAGTGTCAGGTGGAGCGGTCGTTCTCCCTCGCCCAGTGGCCAGATGGAGCACTTGAGCCGTAATTGCTCGTAGACTTGAAACAATTGCGTGCAGCTCGCGGATTGAGGGGTAGCACCTGGACGGTGAAGGCTCGTCTGGTTCAGTCCGTCATGGCCCAGGCTGTCCCCTTCCCATTCCATCAAGGGGAGAGGAAGGTGCAAGGGTGGCTAGGTGGGACCGACGTGCCTTCCCTGCGGGGTGGGCCTGCATTGCGGCGGCAGGTGGAGATCAGGTTGGAAGGTACAGTCCCCAGGGCGGGCCTTGTACACAGTGCTCAATGCTGCCCTGCGCACTGCGACACTCGTATCAGGAGGTGGATTGGTTTTTGGTGGTGGGCAGGGTCGTTTCTCGATCGCTCGACGCCAACGATGGACGCCCCATGCAATCCACCCATGCGAGGCCCGACGTCGAAGCCATGGACCAAACGCCCCTTAAGAGTATCAGCTTCTCATATTTCCCGTCCTTGCGGGGTGTGGACGAACTTCTCCCAGAGACACATCATTCCAAGTGGTCTCACACTTCCTTTATATCACTAACAGCCTCCTCCATTTCCATTCTTGCTTTCCTTCTGGCCAATTCACTTCTTATACTGGGCATTAAGAGTTGGGAGCTGGTTCTACCTCCACCTCGCCACTTATAAGCCCGACGGCCCTCTCCCATTCTGTACACTTCGCCTCTCTCACGACCACAGCCTCACGTCTTGGTTTGAAGCTCCTTCTGAGAACGGAGCTCATATATCATCTTCGCTTCGCAACACCTTTTCGCTCCAGGACGTTGACCATCCCCAAGCACCCGGCATCATTTTTAGAACAGTGGCGAGAATACTCATTACGACACCTATAGAAGATCTATCACCTCCGATTTGCGAGAACTGTTCCGTTCTCACCAGGTCGAATACCACTTTATCACACCAACCATCACCCACCCCACCGTCTCATCACGATGTCAACCTCCGACGATCTCAGGTTGAGGGCACCAAGTCTTCCAACACGGAGCAACATGCGGAACTCGAAGTTCCTCGAGCCTTTGATTAGCACCAAGCCTGGGCTTGTTGATGAGCAGCCTCCGTTATCGCCTGGGACAGCTCCTCACGATGTGTATCTCTCATCCGAGGAGGATGCTTCTTCATCGGCAGACGATTTCTCCGACTACCTGTCTGACTTTGACTCTGAATCATCACCAGCTAGCTCACCAAGGACAGGGCACAGCCACGAGGACATTGCGATCGTTGTGAATGTGGTATGGCAGGGAAAGCCATCCATCATTGACCTGCCTCGCCGCTCCCTCTCGCCCTCTTCACAGCTCGGGCCTCATGACGTCCAGCGAGTTGAGATCCAGAAGATTCAGAGGACATCTACAGCACCTGTTGGAGCACGGGGCAGGCTCTCCATCATCACCACAGGCCCAAAGCTACCAAGCACCCGATCCTCTCGTTCCCACACCACTACAAGCATTCCCTCCAGCAAGACACAGCCTTCGTTTCTCGACAGCGATCCATTCTCCTCAACAAGCTTTGAGGCAACCACCCCACTCGACCAAGAGCGCCCACGAACACCGTCAATGCTTAAACGCATGACTCTTTCCAGGCGACGAAGCAGGCCCTTCATGAGCGAGGCTGCGTCACAGTCCCAACTCAGCATTTCCACATGCTCCACTCCCATGCACCGACCAGATGACGATGAGTATTCACCAATGACTCCCCAAAGCGCCAAGAGCTTCGCATATCACGACCTGGCAAAAGTGGCGCGAAGGTCGATGCACTTCACGAAATCTTCCGTCCCTGAATCACCGGGTGTCAAGACGAAGCTGAGTCTCCGCTTTGGCCGGAAGTAGAAGCAATCTTTTGACATTTTTGGAATTTTGATTTATGGAAAAGCATGGGGTTCAGGCGCACACATCTTTTTTAGCATGTCTTAAACCGAGACAAGGCACACTTGGCGTTCATGTCGGCATGGGACGGATCTATTGGTCGTAAGACATGGCGTTTTGGATGGGAAGCAACCCACACACACGGCACAGCAAACTTGCTGCTATTATGTTTGAGAGACGATTTCTTTTTTTATTATTATCACGTTTTGTTTTCAAGATGCCAATATAGGCACAGCATGATATCACTTCGCACAATTAGTTTAATCTCTTTGACTTGAAATTTTGAATACATCATTTTTACACACTGCAGCCTTATTTGCCTACCATCTTGTTGTTAGACTGTTTCACATCCCTGCCTCTGCGTTCAAAGCCCAACTGCATATGATCTCGATTTGTGCACCAGAAAAAGAAAGTCAGGAACTCTGTCTTGTACGCCATGCAATGGTTCTGTGCAGCAGCGGGACAGATGCATAGCATAATGAAACTGACTCTAGCTAGACAGCCACCAAATAATGACTTGACTTTTGTCTCTCCTCCACCTCTAATGAGAAACCATGTATGCAACATCTCGACAGCTAACGCGGCGGCATCAGCCAATCCCAAGGCGAGCTGCCAAGGCCCTCACCGCGTCGCAGGCCACCATTGGCCTACGCTGGTGCCACCCAGGCCACGGTGTCTGAGCTACACGTACTACTGCTACCCAAGAGCGAGATGCGATCACGCAGGCAGTCAGATCTTACTTTTGGGTTTCAGGACCGGGATGATGGAGGGAAGGGCACGAACCCCGATGCTACTCTACACACCTCTATGCTAGGCATGTATGTACATGGATGGCAGACACGTCCGTACTGTACGCACATGGTCGCCTTTCTTTCTGTCTCTCGATTTCCGATTGAGAAATCTGCCCATGGCACGGCTGCCTGTCTAGGAACTGGTGAAACCGATCCCCTTGTGCACCCCGTGCAGCACGTCCGGCGTAGCTACTTGGCGAGCGGGCGCCGTCGGGGGTGGTTTGGGCAAATTAGGGGGACGAGCTTCGAGCAAGGATGCCAACCGATCGGAGGCTGCCTTGGCTAGCTTTTTCAGCTTTGTTAAATGAGAGCATGCAATAACCGTTTGATTTTCATTCTAGCTCAATTTTCGCATCTCGTGGTCCGTCCGGCCAGGTGGGGGCGCCGTGGAAAGAGGTCACTGTGGGAAGAAAAACGGCTCGGCCGAGTCGTTGCTCTGTGTGTGTCTGTCTACCTGGACCCTGATTCCCATCCTTTACCCTCTCTCTCCTGCTGCACTAGGCAAGTGTGTGTGCTCGGGGCGTAGATCCTTGGGGGCAAATCCTCTCCAAAGGGCCAATTGGGGCACGTATTAGTCGATGTGCAGTACGAAGCGGCCCGGCGCTTTATAAGAAGCCTGTGCCCCTTCGTGGTGCCCGTACGCAGGCCGGTCGAGGTGGTATTTGGGAATCGCAGCTCAATGCTCCCATCCCAAGTGCCGTCCGTATCCTGCCAACAATGTCGTAGCGTCGGGTACCTGCACGACTGGGCCCCTGGCACCCCCCTTCAATCCCGCTCCGGAGGGACCTGGCCGGTCGTCCCAAGTACCTTCGCAGAGGTATTCTTCTCCCGAGCACAGTACGATTCCACTCTGGCGCAGAAATGGGACTTGGGACACCACGAGCACTCGTCGATCAAGGTAGAGATTGCCTTGACGCTCACCGGCGGCGCCCTCCACTCCGTCCTCTCAAGAGATGCTAGTTTTCCCAGGGCAGAATCCAGGATTTGGGGAGCCTCGCCTGAGACGCGATGTCCATGGGTAGTGGGTGGTCCTAAGAGCCTAGTCAGGGGTCGTCCTCTGCCCGTTTTCATGCTGGATTGGCCTGGCTCCCTGGCTCTTAGTCGCTGTTCCCCCCACACACGTTGACGCACGAACACATGGGGAGCACCCTGGTTGGTCGCCCAGTTGGCTCTCCAGCTCGACTGGAGGCTTTCTAGCTGGCTGAAATGTGGGAACCAAGCTCAGGCCGTTGGAGAGGCCGTTGTTTCCAATTGATGCGTAGCACCGTTTTGGGGCGATAGGGCCTAGCCAATCCGATCTGGATGTCGGTGAGTAAAGTTGACTGAGCTAGCCCAAGATCTCTGCTCTTTTCCAATCAGTCTTCCTTGGCTCTGTTTTATCTTCACTGGGCTGAAAGTTGGCACTAGCAATAAATAGCATCAGGGCCAGTCAGGTGAATCCAGCCTGGCAGGCCATGGATGAAGATGCCAAGCTAGAGCACACACGAAGACGAGCCGGAGGAATCAGAGCAGGAAGCAGGAGCCGCAAGTTGGCGCCTTGATCTCTCTGGCCTTATTACTCAGCGGGTCTCTATCAAGCTCTCAAGCTCTCAAGCCTCGGGATGGCTCTTCCATGGCGTGGAGAGAGCCCGGATCAGATCATATGACTTTTGTTGAGTCCCAGGGGATATTACTAAAGCCAAGCAAGCAGCTTTTGCACAGGCCATCTCTGTATGCACCTTGGATATGCCATGCATGCTCTCGGCGGATCCATACTGACCCGTTCAACGCGCGGTCCGACCGTCGACTTCCTCGGCCGTCTTCCTCCGTGGATATTGGAGCTCCTCTCATTGAGATTGTGATTGACGATGACAGCAGATGACAGCGACAACGTGTACCTGACACCTGCAGCAAGGCACCGGGACGGGGACGGGGCCCACACACATTGACCTATTTGCCAAACCTCCGAAGCTGTCTCCAAGCGCCCGTTGACTGACCGTATCGTCACCCCCCCACGCCGACTTGCCTATACCTGCGACTGTCAATCAAACACGCAGACCTCCTCTCATATCTCATTGCATCTACCATTACAGGACTCCCCCGTCGCCCGATCCGAATCTACCCGTTTTGGGTGCTAGCTGAGCGATTCTATTTCGTCATATCTAGATACAAGCGGTAGGTTCACTGAAAAGAAGCCGGAGTGGGAGAACCGGGACTCTAGTTCGATCTTATGCCTCTATTCCTACGAGGTGCTCTTAGTAGTATCCCCATGCTAACCATTGAGCTGTAATTCCCAACTCGGTATCAAATAGTCGCCACATTCTTCCTGATGACTCTCACGGTAAGTAATTTTGGCCTTCGGGCGACTGCTCGTTGATAATCATTCTCAGCTCGGCTCAGCCCAGATTAAAGGTCAATTGGTTTCTTTCACACATGACCAACTTAATTCAGATACGTAGCCCTTCATGGCACCTATGGAAGCGCCCAAACAGGTTCCCCAGCACTCAAAAGTACGATCCTCAGGGACCCATGAAGTTGCTAGGTTAACTGAAAGCCATCGCTCATAAAAGCTGCTCTGGATCTGGGAGCTGATCTCGTTTGACAACTCACAGGGTAAGGTTTCTAGAACAATGGTAGCATACATAGTAGAAATGTTTTGACAGTAGCGAGATTGCTGAGTGGACATCTGCTTCACCACGCCAACGATAGCTCTCACCGTATTTATGAGACGCCCAGAACCTAATCAACGGTAGATGAATCGGAGATTATCTTCCCACGAAGCTCTACCGCACTATAAACCAGCACAGCGTGGGAGGAACCCACTGTCAGGACGGTCATAATGTTATCCCTGGAGATCCACCCTGGGGTCATTTGTGTCCTGATCTCTCGAGCATTCTGAAGTCCAAAGAGAAGAACCCGTTCCTATTCCGTGCTACGTATTGTCCAATTGAAGCAATGCTGTCCCTCCTAAGCTCAGCGTCTTATAAACGCTTTACCAATCGTGGGCGCTTGAATGAAACACGCAGACAATCAACTCACTCTGATGAGGTACACCTGCGACCACATCCCTGAAACCTTCTTGGACACTTCCAAAAGGGACTTGCGTCGAGGTACGAGATGCGAAAAAAGCCGGGGATATTGTAGCTTGAGCTGCCTGCATATCGAACGATAGAGGAGATCATACGCAATATGGGTTATCCCTCTTCGCGCAGCGTTTCAAGTTCCCTGGGCGGACCCATGCACATACAACATCGCTTAGAGCAGGGACCGGACCTCGAGCCACACAGACCTGCACGATTGCGCGCTCTCTCTCTGCCCATTTCATGCCCTGCGGGTGATTAATCATCTCGTGGGAAATGTACCTGCACAGTGCAGCAGCCTCGAGCTTGGGCCCTTGCGCGGCGAGCGAAAGCGTTGGGGGTATGAGCAGGGGAAGGCTGGCTAACCCTGCCCACGGCGGAGTTGCTATTAATTGTACCGAAGTAAGCTGCCAGTTTCCTATCTCCATAGGAATCACGGGCCACCAGAGCTTCCGTCTTCAGGTCCCCCCTGCCCTGCCAGAGTGCCAATTTGATCAGACGAGGCGCGACCTTGGTATGTGTATAGTAGGTGAGCTTATGCAAGAAATTCGAATCCTCCCGCCCTCACCGGCAGACGAACAAGATATTACTTCTTTAGGCCCAGCCCGGTGTTGGTGATGATGATGATGATGATGCTGTTGCTGGGGATGGCATCGTAAAAAAAGAAACCGCGGGTTTACACGCTTCGTGGCCGCGTGGCATCCTTGCGATGCCCAAGTTGAAAAGCGGCCGATTGAGTTGCCTTTGTCCGTGCTTTGAACAACGAGCTAAATCCATCAGCATCTCTATGCAAAGGAAACCCTGACCAACCTGTGGGGATGTTCATCTTCGGTCGTCGTTTCGTTAATGCATTGCGTTGTGAATGCACAGTCCAAACGTATTATCACAGCCTAATACAGATACGAATTCACCGTAATGAGACACAGAATGCATCTTGTTGCTCGTAAATATTCGTAAGCAGTCCGAAAACGACTACTTGAAACACATTCACAGTTGGGCGAAGTCCTCATGTGATGCGATTTATCCACATTTAAACTATGCGCCACGGTTTCGGAGAAACAGATTTAGATCGTGTATCGTTTCACCAGAGAACTTCGAAAACAAGATTTTCGTAGGCAAGCACAAACATGTGTAAATTATGCGATATCCTGATAATGCATGAAAAACTCACTCTCGATAGAGTAACCCCTCCGAAATCTGAGACTAACGTCGATCCTATAGCACATACTCATCGCAACTCGAAACAAGAATTCAACCAAAATGCCGGGTGTAGTTGGCGGGGTGGTGACGGGGAGTACAATGTTCTTAGTCACTGGTCTGAGGTCCGGGAGCTTCGCCTTCTTCAATCTCGGGCTGCTTGTGACGAAGGGTCAGGGGGAAGGGATACTCGTCCGGATCCTCTTCTTCACTACAATGGCTGTTAGCAACTATGCAGATCTCAACGTCTCCCAAATGGGTACTTACGGCAATTTCCATGCGACATAGTCCTCCGTATTCAGCCCTTCGCGGCCCTCCTGGAGGCTAGCAAAGTCGCCGGGTGTCATCATCCCACTTCGATCCCTGGGTGATCCTGGAACTGAGAATGGCCGAGAGATCTTCACATCGACACCAGGGATAAAGTCCCCTTCTTCATCATCCCCGATGAATGAATCGGGGTAGGCCCGGCGCAGAGCGAGCTGTCGAGCTTTGACATACTCCATTCCCATTCGTTTCCAGTCCAGAAGGTCACTGAGACGCTCCGTGCGGTTTCTCTGATTGATACGTTGACGTCGGCTCTTGCCACAGAAGTCAAACATGTACGAGGCGAGCTGGTTCACTGAGTCATCAACGCCCTTGGTTCGCCTGTCCACAATGTAAATTCCGTAGTCACTGGAATTCTCAATGAGTTCCTCCATGTAGCATCCAAAGCCAGAAAGATTGCTAGTAATACTTGGAACACCCATAACCGTGCATTCTGCTGGCGTATATCCCCAGGGCTCATAGTAAGAAGCGAAAATGCCCATGTGGCATCCTCGCACAAAGTCATCGTAGTCAAGTGGCAAGACAGGGTTGGCCGAGTTCAGGAACTCGGGATGGAAGACAACCTTGACGCGGTCAGAGGGATGATTGAAAAGTTCGACCCTCCGAATTTGATTCAGGATAGGGTCTTCATGGTCGTTCACCATGTTATGGGTGACAATCGGGGGCAGGCCGTGCCTCTTCATTGCGAAAAGGCGGCGTCGTAGGAGAATTCTGTCTTGGCTAGAAATCAGTTCCTTCTCGTCAGGCATCGGGTCACCCTCATGCCACTTGAGTGATCGTTCGAAGATACGTCGTCCAATGCTTTGCTCAATGACATGGGTGGTATCCCTGAGTGACTTGATCACAGCTTGGCCTTTCAGAGCTTCAACAGTCAATGAAGTAGTCTGTGCTGGCATGATAATAAAAGCCACGACCGTTATCTTGCTCCCGGCGTCCTTTAGACGATGATTGAGCCGGGCAAGAGATTCAATAAACATGTCCACTCCCTTGTTCCTGAACTCGTATCGACCGGCGGTGAACACGTAGAGGGTGTTGTCGGGCTCGAAGTCGTAGTGTCCGTAAAAATGCCCCCGCACGAAGTCATGGATTTTTTCCTTGGCCTGTTGATGGAGGTTTTGAAACTCATGCACTGCTGAGAACTTGGTCACGTTCAATCCATTTGGCAGAACCCCGTCAGGTTTACGCTTGAGGAGGTGTTCTGACTCGTAGGCAGTGATGTGGGAAACCGTAGTGAAGACGTCACAGGAGTGGGCGGCAGCCCTTTCAATACAGTATCGATGATAGATGCCACGTTTTCCAGCCTCGGCATCGACATCAAACCATTGAAGGTTGTTGTAGAAATCCACGGATCCGGCACAGAGATATCGTCCCAGCAAGGTTGCATGGGTAGTGAAGATGGTGGTCACATCGATCTTGCGCCTCTTGGTCAGTGGTAGCGCAACACCTGCCAGCCACTCGTGGAAGTGGGCAATCACGGCCTTGGACTTTTCGTGGCAGACGAACTATCCTGGGAGTTAGTAGCCATCCTGATTATACGAGACACAGCTCTGTTGGAGGAACGGGAGCGCTTACCTCTCCAAGAAACCAAGCGACCAAATATCCGAAAATGATCGTCTCGTTGGTTTCCTCGTCGCCCGGAGGGGAGGGAATGCTGGCGACGTTCCAGAGGTCCGCCTTCCATTCATCCATGTACCCGTAGGCTGTTTTGGTATCGATGAGGATTACCCGGGGCGCGCCCTCAATCAGCCATCGGCCGTAGATGATACCAATTCCGCGCTCCTTCATGGATGCCATTGTGAGCGAGATTGCTGGGTTGGTGGGCTCCATCTCTTCAACCTCGACTGCTGCCTACTGCAAGTTTAGAATCATGCCCATCAATTGCTGGCTTTCTTTTAAAGTTCCAAATCGTACCGATTGGTGGTTCAGAGGCCCGATGAGGGTATATCTGTCGCCATATTCGGCAGTCGTCACAGGAGCCTTGGATTTAAGGACGGAGTAAATGCCACCAACTGAGGAATGCTTGTCAGAGAATCGTGCTAAAGCGAGCGCGCAGCTTGGGTGGCTTACCTCTGTGGGCTACCTCGGTCGCGATCTCAAAGAGAAGATGGTTCTTGACATCGCGAGCGGGCTCACCGTCTTGAGCCATTGTGTCTAGGCTAAGCGAGACAGCTGTGCTGGGAGCGGATTGCTAGAGGAGAACTAAATTTTCAACAGGCGCACAAGCTTGCGGGAGTGCTCGCGAAGAGTGTAGAGGGAAGGAGAAGCTGCAGAAAGAAACAGCGCGTCGGGTGAGGTGGTTTGTGACGTAGAATCTGGTCAGGCAAGCCCGGGGTTGGTGCTGTTCAGCTCCCCGTCCAATCGGCGATCTTCGCTGCTGGGGACCGTTTGCCTTGGCTGTGGTGCTTTGCGCCTGCCTCTAGCGCTGGTCGCGGCAAGAGTCTGAAATGGCACAACAACGAAGCGCGATTCCGGCTGCACCCAGGCAAGAGAAGACAGAAGATTCCGTTGGATGGAAGAACAACAATTCCACAAGGCGGAGAGAGGCGCGACGATGAGAGCTCGATCGTGGGAGTATGGAACAGTTCCTGGTGGTCGCTCGGGTTGGCCTGCAGCTACCTGCATTCAGTGGACCGTGCCCCAAGAAAAACAACACTAATCGCCAGTAGGAGAGGTTAGTGCTAGCAGAGAACGGTCTAGGAACCTTGCTCAGGCTAAATTTGCTGATGCTGGTTGGTGCTGGCTGGGCCTGATCCTCTTATATCGTCATGGCAATGTTAGTCAAGGGATGGGGGCTAGTAATCGATATGACATACATTATGATTGAATGAACTAGCGTCACAGCTATCGGTGGTTGGACCTGAGCCAGGGCAGGTGCATGTCGCTTGCTCCCTCCCAGCCTGCTCCGTAAACAAGGGCAATGTAGTATTCGTATGCAGCCAATCTCTCCGCAGTGCCAGTCCTCAGCCTCTGCAAACCGTCGGGTGCTCTGATTTACGCTGCCTTGGTCCTGCACCAAACTCAACGACGCAATGGTGTAGCATCATACATGTTCGTTGGGTGGAGAGCCCCCACTCTACCGCCAATGCATAGAGCTAGTTCTGGCGAGATTCACCGCGAACGGGTTCCAACATTTGGCGCTTTGGACCTGCCAGGTCCTGTACTAACAGCCGAGGGAGCCTTGGGAGGGTCACGCCTGCAGCAACCTCCGCATCTACTCCGAGTTGGTGTATACGAATGGCGATTATGACATTGCCATTGTGGGGTCAAGTGATACTGAAAAGCCATACAATGCGGGGAGTGTCTCCTCACTTGGTCATTGGACGGCCACGAGACTCGTCGGCAACCCACATGATGCTCAAGATGTCCAATGGAAAAGATTGGGATACAAGCGATACGGAAAAGAGAAGAACTTGCATCTAGCTATCCCTAGATGATTCCACCGAAGAAGAGGGGGCGGAGGGGCAACGTCGGCCTGTCCGACTACCGTCAGTGACGCCCAGAACCTGTTCGATGCACCCTCGCCCCGTTGGCTGCTACCCTTAAGTACGAGCAGTAATTAAACTCAATGTTGTGATCATTTCCCCTTCCCTTGCAATTGGGTAGTAATTCGGTCAGAGAAGCCCTCAGCTCACGGCTGGCCGATAAACGTAATTGATGTCTATTTTTGACGAACCTTAATCCATTGGATTTCGTGTGTCAGCCATTGCAGTCCCAAGACACGTCTCTATAAACGAATAAATGTCTTATCGAGAATTTCAGCGAAAACCAAGTGGGTGGCATTGAAATTGAGACACTCAGACATCCAGCTCCTTATTTTTGAGTCTGTGACCGATATTGTCGGATTATTGAGAGCTAATAACATACATTTAAGAAACAATACAGCACAAATTGTTACTTTAATCCATTTGACACTGTTCACAACCATTCCTCCATTCGAAGTCTGAGTTCTCCTGTAACCCACTTGGGAAGATAATCCGAAATTGAGCTAATGTTAGAGAGCGAGACAAATCCATAAACGATTTATAGGTAGATCTTGATCTGAACCAGAGAGGCCCAGCCTTGTTCTCAGATCCCATGCACTCATTGGCTACTGAATGCCAAACTTCCCCGCTGTGGGTCTCTCATGCAAGGCTGACAGACTCAAGGAAAAAAAATTTGGGACAAGGTAATGGGTGCCCATGACTTATCGCTTCGCAACCGCCTAAGCCAGCATATCCTCCTCTGCGGTGTGCGACGGATTCCTATGACCCCTTGACTCTTTCGGAACAGCGTCGCATCTAGTTTCTCTATTGGTTTCGAATTTTTCGGCTTGCGTCACAGCTATGGAGATCGACACCTCACCTGCGCAGGTGAAGGTCATCTTCACCACCACTGAACCAGATCTCCAACTTCCAGAGTCTGGGCAGCAATTGCTTGTCCCCGGAGGTGAATAGCCTGTGGATACATTAGAAAAAGGAACTAGGTCTAACTCTTCACAGATATTAAGCGCTATGGCCTCTCACGCATTCTCAACTCCGAGTCGATGCTCAACACTAGCTCCCCCATCCCTCTAGATTTTCTCGCAAACGGAACCTTCCTCCGCACCAGCATTGAGGAATATCTCTCCGCCAATGGGCTGTCCTCGGAAACGACTCTTACTCTGCAGTACGTGCGCAGTTTGATCCCCCCCGTCTACGAGGCGAGCTTCGAACATGACGACTGGGTTGGCGACGTCGACGTGCTCTCTTCTACATCACCTGCTGGTCTGGGCGCCTCCGTCAACGACAGGATTGCAAGTGCTTCATACGATGGCTTGGTGAGGGTGTGGAACCCCTCCGGCGAGACAATCGCCACGTCTGCAGCCGGTCGCGGCGGCGGACACACTCTCCGTCTCGACGCCGTCAAGTGGCTCTCACCAAAGCAGATCGCCTCCGCCGGCCTGGACCGTAAGGTCGTCATCTGGGACTACACCGAGTCGAGCGATGGGTTCTCGGGATCCCTGAAGCCGAACATGGAGCTCTGGGGCCACGAGAAGGCCATCAACTCCCTCGCCGTAAACGGCTCTGCTGGCCGGATTCTCACCGCTTCATCGGATGGGCGCATTGGCTTGTGGTCATCCTCCAAGAAGACGGCTCCTCAGGCCGATCCCGAAACCCTGCCCTCGGCTCACAGCAGCAAGAAGACGAAGCTCTCCAGCGCCGCAAACACCGCACAGCGTGGCCCGCTGGCCATGATCGCGGCGCACGACGAGCCAGTCACGGCGGCAGTCTTCCATCCCAACGACAGTACGGTGGCTTACAGTGCCTCCAAGGACCACACGGTTAAGACGATTGACTTGACCACTTCGCGCGAAGTGTCTCGACTGACCACATTGCACCCCATTCTCTCAGCTATTGCCTTGCCCGGTTCCTTGATCGCCGCTGGTTCATCAGCCAGACACATCACCCTGCTGGACCCCAGGGAGTCTGCCAAGTCGACAGTTGTGATGACCCTCAGGGGCCACGTCAACATGGTCTCTTCACTGGCACCATCTCCCGATAATGACTACTCGCTAGTATCAGGTTCATACGACAGCACCTGTCGCGTATGGGATCTCAGAAGCGTGCGCCACAGTGCACTGGAGGAAGGTGGCGGTAGTGTAAGCGAGCCAGTTTACACCATCGGCCGAGAGTGGCTGAAAGAGAAGAAACTACCTGCCGCTGGTGATGGTGCCAAGGTACTGGGTGTTGCTTGGGACACCACATGGGGCATTGTCAGTGGTGGCGAGGATAAAAAGGTACAGATCAACAGAGGGAGAGGTTTATTTGCTGCTTAGAGGGTAAATATTTCAAGAGAAAAGGATCACATCATGTACGATGAAATCCATGCTAGACGGCGCTAAAGGGTATCGCTTTTCTATATATATAAGAAATGACAGCAGTTTCAAATGCAAATGCCTTCTCATCTTTCCAAAAAGATTTCCGAGCCATCAATCGGATGATGCAGTCTTGCAAGCATCGACAACCCTGCGATACTTGGCCAACCCCAAAACAGCAGGAGGAAGAGTAGAGATGATCTCTTTGCTCATTCTCTCCGTACTGAATGGAAGTCTTTCAGTGGCAACAGCGCCTATAATGTATCCTGTCACAGTATTGAGCTTGAGTGGGGGGTCTCTCATTATCTGTGCAATCTTCTCCGGGTTCAAGCTCTCATTGTCATACCAGATGTAGTATGCTCGAAGAAAAGATGGGCCAACTTGGACTGCTGTGCGCTTGGAACGACGATACTGGTTCAATCGTAATTCGGCTGCCTGCATTCGAGAATCAATCTGCTTCACTGGGAGAGAGCGTTTCTGTGTTGAAGGCGCCAGGTTAGTCTGAACCGACGCATCATTGGCTCCAACAGACTTGGGTACGTGTTCCTCCTCCAACTTCTTGGCTGCTTCTCCAACAAGAGAACGTTTTTCGTCCTCCTGGCTCAGTTCGGCCGCTTCAGAAGTGGACGGAGTCGCTTTTTCTTCCGACTCCATCCCATCAGAGGTTGATGCATTCACTACTTCTTCCTGCTCAACCTCGTCCACTTTCGTTGCAAGCTGCAAAGGTAGTTCTAATTCAGCATGGTGTGGGCGAGGAGGAACTGGGTCAAGTTGCAGCCTCTGCTCTTCCATAACGTGGTACAATTGGACCGCGGCGTAAGCGTCCGAAGCCGCATCTATTACTTATTAGCCAAGATGGAACAGACCGAGCTTGCCATATTAGACAGAGTGCACTTACACTTTATCTGGCGCTCCTTTAGAGCGACGCTCCAATCACTGGATCGCACGTTGTCACCTTTGAAGATTGGCAGGTGTAAAAACTCGTCTACCTGAGTTGCCATGCTCACAACGGTCTTATTTAACTTTGGCGGATGCAGCTCCTGTGAATACTTGACCACTTTATAGAGATGACTGAGCTCGAAGATCCCCCGAGTTTCTACCCCGAGGAACTTTTTCAGCCTTGTACAATCACCCCGAATATTGACGCCAGCTTTGCTGATATTCGGGTCCCCCATGATTTTTCGAAACGTCGGCGCAACGAAATCATCCTTCGGAAACAACGCAATGTGGAAAAGTCCGATGTGACTCTCGCTTGCAAGCTGTATCAGGGCGACATTGCTGCGTACCCCTGCTGTTTTAGTTGCCCACGCTTGCCACTCCATATCAAACCCCAATAAACTCTCGCCTAGAAAATAACTCTGACAGGTGGTTTCCATTGTTTGTTTTGACCGGCAGTAATGGACCTTGACGTTTACCTTGGTCCCGTCATTCTTGGTCCCGTCATTCTTGGTCATGTTGTACATCGTGTGGGACCAGAACGACTCCGGTGACCCTTCTTTGGCGTCTCGGGCTTTGTAAAACAGTTCTGGGGAGATCTTGTATGGGAGCGAAGTCGAAGGAGGACCAAATATCTTGGCAGGAGCTACATCTTCGACAGCAGGAGGCTCGCCATCAACGACAGGAAGCGGACTATGTGCATCATGCTCGATCGGTTCCAAACTCAGGAGCGGGCAGGCGATTTCCGGCCCCGCCGCGGAATCGGAGGTCCCGTCGCGCTTATGTTTGCCTTCGAACTTTACGGCTAGGTCTTCGTCGGTAATGGTCAGGTTCTCGACGTAGCGGGATACATTGAGTATTGGATACAGCGGGGCCTTAGTTTCCGGACCTGAGGAGAAGCGAATGCCAACACTTGGATTCCATAGTTGACGGTTCATTTTGGAACGGAGGACTCGGTTCAAATATTTCCTATATTTGGGAGTTAGAGATACAAAAGCGAGTGTATGAGAGGATGCGCGCACAACGACACGGTCAAGCAAGGTTCAAAGCATCAGCGAGAGTAGCACGTGTAAACACCAAACCTACTGTAAGTAGTGTGAGGGATGTGAGAGCGATGAATAACGCATTATCGGAGCACACAATCCACCATAGCCAATAGACATGGCGGGTGAGAAAGAAGCTCCCACCGTCCTGCAGGCAACCATTCGCGGATGAAGAGGGGCTGTTCCTGAAATAACAAGCGATTCCTACCGTGATTGGGGTTGGATGTGCTTAGTCATTGTCGCGACCGCACGTGTTGTCGTGTTAAGTGGTGGTGGGTCGAACGGCGCTGAGCAGGCTTCTCCCACAGAGGGGCAGCGTCGAAATATACGGGTAGTGAGAGGCCTGAGTTAAGGCCATTCAACATCACCATCACGGCTTTACATAAGACCTTTCCAGAACTCAAACACCACGGTCCTCGGAGAATTAAGCCACCCAGTCGAATCAAGGCTATTCCATACAATGGCGTCTCAGTTGCTACCCCTCGGTGAGTTTGCCTTGACCTCGTTTAACTTCTTCCAATCAGTGAGACGCAAACGTTAACATGTGAATAGAGCTTATTGACAAATGTGTCGGGTCAAGGATTTGGGTCATTATGAAGGGCGACAAGGGTCCGAGCTATTCTCATGGTTATCATGTGCAGCACTGACATGAGATTACAGAATTCAGCGGCACTCTCCTCGGGTTCGACGACTACGTCAGTATGTGCTACCCATTTCTTCCCCAGCTCATGAGCGTTATTCTAACTTGGCATCAAGACATGGTTTTGGAGGACGTGACAGAGTTGTAAGAGGCCACTTCTTGCACTACAGGTATCCTACGATCTGATTCTAACAACTCACTCAGTGACTACTCAGGCAATCACACCAAGCTCCCCAAGATTCTCTTAAACGGAAACAATATCTGCATGGTATATTTGTACAGCTATCCATGATGAGTTTGCCCTGGCTAATGCATTTTTACAGCTGATTCCCGGTGGCGAAGGCCCTGAAGGAGCAGCATGATGGATTGATTGATTGGCATTTTGTCCTGGAAGCGGTCCCCAAAATACGAATCCTACCATAAAAAAAAATACAAAAAGGAGCTTCAATATTAATGATTCACCGCTGCCCAAGCATTCCGTACGTCCTGGTCAATTTTTGCTTTTGAACATGACGCACCATTTACCCACTGGCCCGGAAAGGGTCACGAAGCAGGCATCAAGCCATTTGGGCATTGATCTGTTTGCATGGGTTTGAACACGAATGTGAGGTTCCAAGGATATATTCATATTATCCATAACCTAAATTACTTAACGCCGAGAAGTAGGACAAGTTAGGGCTCTTGTAACGCTTTACTGCCCGTTTGCCTGCATGTTCCCCTGCTCTCCTGTGTTGGTGATACGTCTCAACTCCCACTCTCGCGTGAACTCTTGATGCAACATCTCGAGTTGGTTGATGAGTTTTTCACAGACTGATGTGAATACGTCACGTGGTGAAACTGTTCCATCCGTTTGGACTCGTATGAAGAGCTCCGGCACGTTGGGGTGCGCGACTGCACATGTGAGTGGCGGAAATGGCCAATGTTTGGTTTAGGGAGAACTCACTTTTGTAGCCAGCCATCATTACATTAGGGTGAGCCTTAAGGTGCTCAGAGAGGAGGTTACCTAAGGTATGGTCCTCTTTCTTGAGAACAAAATCGGACGTGTTGGCCATCCCTGGACAGACAGTCAACACCAGAAAGCACTAGGGAGTTGTAGAGGAATATTTTACCAGAATATACATTTTCCTCAATCTTTTTCTCGCCTTCACCGAGCAAGAACAGCTCGAAGCTAAGGACCGATTAGCAATGTTCAAGTAAAGGTAAGGTGGCAAGTCCAACGGGTCATCTTGTATATTGTGGTGCTTCTGGTTGCAGCCCGCCATATTACCAGTTTTAAGACAAAAATGTGTAGGCAGGTTGAGGAAAATGGACAAAACCACATAAGGGGAACAGTATTTTGGTGATTACAGGTCCTGAATAGGATGACTGTATGGCTTATATGAAATGGAAGCGACAGAGGGAATAGCCTTGGGGGTGAGAGTTGGTTGAGGCCAATCTGAGATTCTCCGCCGCTTGGCGCCAGACATGAGAGAATGTAGGCCTCATCGTGAGTGGAAGCAATTAACCTCAACCAATGCACCCTGACTGCGCAAATCAAACTACTTACCGATCGGGCGCGTTCATGATTGCAGCTGGAGGAAAGAGGCTGACGTGGGCGAATGAAGGTGGCAAGAACGAGCAACGCTGAAGTGTTTGGCAAGCAAGCAAGAAAGAAACGATAGAACCCCCAGGAAGTACTAAGATGAAAATAAATGGCTAAGTTTGAAACGAGGAAGGCGATGAATATCGGAGAGGGAAGTCGCCTGTGGTGGATCCTCAGACAAAAGAATCAATTGAACAAGGCTCACCACCAAATTCGCAGCGCAGGTTGGCCTTCGCGCCTGAATTAAGGGCGGCCCCTGCAGTCTAGGTTCAGCCTTGGGCGCGAAAAAAAACTTAGCGGTCGGCGCTCCACAAGTACCATCTTATCATTCCGGCCAGCAGGGGCCTTGTATTTCTGATAGTGAAAAACCTACATATAATGGCTTACGGAACGAGCGCCCTTCTTCACCTCAAGACAATGTCCTCCCAAGCCGCCTGTGCATCGCAAGTCAATGCCGCGAATAGCCCCCCAGCTAATTCGTAGCGCTTTGGGCCATTCGCCTGAACTTGCCGCTCTGCTACCAGCATGCCGGGATTTAAACTCAGCGTTCAACGAGCTTCGATGGATTCGTGAGCACGTCGACAAAACAGTCAGGCTCAATCGCAAAAGACACCTTGAGAGACTGTGCCAGAAGAGGGGGCGAGGCGTTCCCCTTCAGTATCTACTTGGCACGCAGCCTTTTGGGTCCCTGAATATCAATTGTAAACCAGGAGTTCTGATACCTCGCCCAGAGACTGAGGCATACGTATGCTATCTCCAGGAGCTTCTAGAGTCAGGGGACTTGCTAGGACAAAAGCTCTCCGAGTTGGGCAATCTTCGCATCATCGACTTCTGCACGGGGACCGGATGTATTCCCTTGCAATTATTTTCCACTCTTCAACGATCAGTTCGATCCCTTGAAGTATGCGGCGTAGACATATCACCAGTAGCTCTCGAGCTTGCCAAGGAGAATGCGAGGTACAACGTGGCACAGGGATGCATGGCTTCATCGAATAACAAGCAAGAGCTATCCTTTCAGAAGGCCGACATATTTCGCGACACGGATATGCAACAGTTCACTGGACTGCCGTGGGATATCATGATCTCTAACCCCCCGTATATTTCTAGAAAAGTCTGGAATTACGGCCGGGGACAAATGGGGTACTCTGCACGGAAGTATGAGCCTCGTCTTGCATTGGTCCCGGAAGATGATATGCCTCCTGCTCCTGCCGGGTTACTGCATGAAGATATTTTTTACGCAAGACTACTGGATCTTGCCCAAACACTCCGTCCCAAAATCCTTCTTATGGAAGTAGGAGATGAGAACCAAGCCCGACGAATCGTTCAATACTGTTTAAGCCATGCATTTTGTACAAAGGCCCAGTGGACGGTATGGCGAGATTGGCCAGACGTGGCTCCTGGATCTGACAAGGCCACCGAGGAGTCTGACTTCACAATAAATGACGGGAAACGAATCACCGTTCCCGTTAAAGGCAGTGGCAATATCCGGTCCATTGTAATAAGAGTTTTATGATACCTATAGCCGCCTATCCTTCTGGGTCGGTTTCCCAAGACAGCCAGGAACTCCCCCAAATTTTCATAGGACCCCAATCATATGAAAATGTTCAAATAATGCCTCCAACCTTCATTCAAAGTCCAGGTCAATTCTTATCATCCGGGAATATCTAAGTTGCGGAGTTACACATCTAAGAGTTGTAGTCAAAGTCCGAGGTCCGAATGGTGCTGAACAAGCAAAGTCCCGCCTAGACCACGTGACACTGGAGATTTTCCACTCCAACGTCAAGCTTCGTTCCGCCACTAGAGCATTCTGCATGGTGTCATTCACTACGTTCGTTGGCGTCGCAGTTCCCTCTCTCAACCTTTTGATGCTCTGCACCTAAAAACTTTCATGCGCAGGGTGTCAGCTCTTTCGATCATACCTCATGACTGAGGTGGGTGCCAACGATTCGATTCTCCCTCCCTCCGACCGATCCGCCGTTCGCCTATAGCACCGCCGCCCACCATGTCCAGATACCTCCGCCAATCCAGCCAGTTGGCTCGCCTGTCCCGCCTCTCCCAGACTGCGCGAATCAGCAGGACATTGCGCCCTTCAATTGCCTCGCGGTCGACCCCATTCGGAACGTTACCAGTGCGCGCGGATGCTCCGTGGCGACAGTATTCGACAAACTCGCCGAAACCTAACGATCCCAAGAACAGCCAGAACCAGAACTCCCCAGAAGACCAAAAACAAAATGCGGCGCCGAAGCCCACGATGCGCCTCCCGGAAGGGTGGATTCACCTATCAAAGTCAGAATTGGCTCAACTCGATGCCTTTATTCAACGACTTCCCGAGGCGCAAAAGTCAAGTATCGAGGGTGTTCTAGAGGCGCTCCAGCATACCGGAACGCCCATGGAAACACGCGAACTTCTAATTAAAATGAGAGAAGGCTCCGGTCGGCTCTCTATCATCGACAAGGGCCGATTACTAAGAGCCGTTGTTGTTACTGCTTCCCGAGTAGCCGAGTGGCAAGCCCTTCAGGACAGCCAAGGGATGTTTAGGCCGAACTCGGATCTTGACCAACAGCAGAGGAGTGAAAAGGAGCAGTCTTCGAAGAATCAAGATTCAGAACAAGGCAGCGAGACCGAAGCTGGAAAACAGTCCCAAGCTTCGCAACAACACTCAAACACAACTAGGCCAGGCCAGTCAAACCCTCAACCGTCGGGCGATGGCAAAGCTGGTGGAGGTGGTGGAGGGGGCAACGGAATACAGTGGAATGAAGCCGTGCAATCAACCGTTTTGATTCTACTGACGTTGTTCCTGTGGGACTACTTCACCTCCGCTCCTGATAAGGAAATCACATGGCAGGAAATGAGGACGGCCTTCTTGGACAAGGGCCTGGTTCAGAAATTTGTCGTCGTTAATGGTTCAAAGGTCCGCGTGGAGCTGCACCCTGAGGCACAAGAAGCAAATGGTGGTCGACATTACGCTGCCTCAATCGGTTCAGTTGAAAGCTTCGAAAGAAATCTCGACCAGGCTCAGGCAGAACTCGGCATTCCCTCATCCCAGAGGATACCTGTGAGCTACGAATCCGGTGGCAGCACATTGGGCAATCTCTTCCTGGCCTTTGGGCCAACTCTCCTGTTCATTGGTTTGATCATCTACACTCAGCGGTCAATGGGTGGACGAGCTGGTGGCAGCGGTGGCGTCTTCAGCTTTGGCAAGAGCAAAGCCAAGAAATTCAATGCAGAGAGCGATGTGAAGGTCAAATTCACAGACGTCGCAGGATTGGAAGAAGCCAAGGTTGAAATCATGGAATTCGTGAGTTTCCTCAAGCAGCCAGAGAAGTTCGAGAAGCTAGGTGCCAAGATTCCTCGTGGTGCCATCCTGGCCGGGCCTCCTGGAACCGGTAAGACTCTTCTTGCCAAGGCTACTGCAGGAGAGTCAGGCGTGCCCTTCTTCAGCGTCAGTGGTTCTGAATTTGTAGAAATGTTTGTTGGTGTCGGTCCATCTCGTGTACGAGACCTCTTCGCGGAGGGAAGGAAGAACGCTCCTTGCATTATCTTCATTGACGAAATCGATGCCATCGGACGCGCGAGACAGGAGAGTGGTCGTGGTTTCGGAGGCAACGATGAACGAGAAGCTACACTCAACCAGATTCTCACAGAAATGGATGGTTTCAATACTCGGGAGCAGGTTGTGGTTCTGGCCGGTACCAACCGTGCTGACGTCTTGGACAAGGCGCTGATGCGTCCAGGTCGTTTTGACAGGCACATTTACATTGACCGCCCTACAATGAAGGGTCGAAAGGAAATCTTCGAGGTATACCTGAAGAAGATTGTTACGAACGAAGATCACGAGCAACTTATTGGTCGCCTCGCTACTCTAACCCCTGGATTCTCCGGAGCTGACATCTCGAACGTCGTCAATGAAGCTGCCCTCATTGGTAAGTGACACCCCCTTTTTTACCTTTCACCCTGGCCAAGTTATCATATGTGCGAAATCTAACATCTTCTAGCCGCGCGAGCCAACGCCGATGAGGTCAAGATGAAGCACTTTGAGCAGGCGATCGAGCGTGTCATTGGTGGCTTGGAACGCAAGTCACTTGTTCTGAAGCCCGAGGAGAAGAAGACCGTGGCTTACCACGAAGCTGGCCACGCCATTTGCGGATGGTTCTTGGAACATGCCGACCCTCTCCTTAAGGTGTCGATCATTCCACGTGGCCAAGGAGCGCTTGGCTATGCTCAGTACCTACCCCAGGATGCTTATCTTATGAATGTCAACCAACTCATGGACCGCATGGCTATGACGATGGGTGGCCGAGTATCAGAGGAGCTTCACTTCCCTACAGTAACTACTGGCGCAAGCGATGACTTCAAGAAGGTGTCCCAGATGGCGCGAAACATGGTTACGCAGTGGGGGATGTCGGAGAAGGTTGGGCCAGTCCATTTCGAGAACGATCCCAACCGCATGGTCAAGCCATTCGCCGAGTCCACTGCCCAGCAAATAGACCAAGAAGTCCATCGCATTGTCGAGGAGGCCTACAAGCGGTGCCGTGATCTGCTCACGGAGAAGAAGAAGGAGGTCGGACTGATCGCAGAAGAGCTCTTGAAGAAGGAAGTGCTGGTCCGGGATGACATGGTACGGATCCTCGGCAAGCGGCCTTGGGGAGAGTATGAAGACTTCGAGAAGTACTTTAGCGGCGGGCCAGACAGTCCCCCACCACCTCCTCCTCGGGGCGAGGAAACTGATACACCTCAAGAGCCTCCTGCCCCAGCACCAGCTACGCAACAGCTGTCATCGGATGAAGTTGCAAGCAGGTGACGAGGTATACTCGAAGGCATGGAGGCAACAAGGATCCTCATTGAGGAGACATAACTTCACAAAAGACATGGGCCCATAATTTTTATTACATGGGGCACCTGTACTCTCAACTCTGCTGACGAACGGGGACGGTTCCCTTTTGTATACCGCCCTTTTGGTCCTTCACTTTGTTAGGGCAGGAGAGGGAACCTCCGTTGGGCTGTGCTGTACTGTAGTGTAATATAGGACTAGAACTGTAGACTTTCATGTCAGTAACAAAACAGAACTCTTGGAAATATACAAGCTTGCATTTTGTTCATACACTTGGAAGTCATCACAGAAGAAAAGTAGTCACAGTAGCTTCCCCGACCCTTGCATGCGCCGGGGTTGAGTCGCATCGGTGGGGGTAGCTCATGTCTTGGAGGAGGGAGCCCGTCGCTATGAGGTAATAAACCCTCTATTTACTCTATTCTATGACATATGCTTTTGTGCATCATCCCATCGCAAACGGTGAAATTGTGATGATGGAAATGGAGAGTCTTGATTGGCCAGAAAAGTTCCTGGCCTCCAGAATGGACCATATGTGAGGAAGTGATAACTCCCCACTGGACAGGGCTCCTCTCCATTTACGTGGGTGATTATATTATCCAAAAATGCATATATATATCCAAGCCGGAAATGACGCCAGTACCACAACACGGATATAGGAAATGACCCGACGCAGTGATCACAACGTTGGGTTTGCTCCGAGGTACCATGGAGGCGGAAATAAAGTGGTCCCGATGATACTAGTGCATGATAGGCTGGCGAGGGTCCTGCCTTTTCCTCACTAATCACCCACCTTAAAATCACATGGAAGGAACGAACGGGTCGTCACTGTGTCATGCTCCTGCTGCATGTCCCAACAGGCTGGCTCTGCTGAAAAGGTACGTACCTACTTAGGCCAGGAACTTGATCCGAACTTCCTATTGGTAGATTGTCAGTCTGCCAACTCTTTTACAAGCATCTCGGCGAGATATGTATCATTTTTCTCCGTCTTCTCCTCAGGCAGCAGCTCAGTTGCTTGTGGGCGCCCTGCGCGGTCAGGCAAAATTCAGGCGGAATTGGTTTGGTGTTGATTGGTTCCTGCTTTGTTCCCTCGAATCATCTCATGCCACCTCGCCACCCATTCATGAGTCGTACCCCATATGGACTCTGGTTCCCAGTTGTCGATCCGATTTCTGTGTTTTCCTTATTGCATAAATTTGAAGGCTACGTTTCTCTTTCTTGGATATATACTCTTCTCAAAACACATAAGCTCGGCATTGGGACCGCATGGACACGGACAGAAGCCCAACGTTGATTCTCCCTTTATTTCTATTCAGTTTTTCGTGATTCTAGCCTGGGCTCACTTTATTTATAACGTATCATAAGGTGGTGTCATCGAGAAACAACAACTGCATTCATCATGACCCAAAATACCACAACGCCTCGCGGCCACCGTTCCGAGACTCTACCACGACAAGATACTGAAGCTCAGTTACCGTCGGAGCAAGATAGGAGCAATTTTTCAGCAGTCGCTACGCCCTCCGAACATGATCCGTGGTGGAAAATTCATCCCTTTCGGGGGATGGTCAATGATCTCAGACGCAGAGCCCCGTTCTTTTTCAGCGACTGGACAGACGCTTGGGACTATCGTGTTATTCCAGCGACAGTTTATATGTATTTTGCAAAGTATGTGACTCCCTTCTTCTTGATTTTTTTAACCTGTTGGAGAAATCCAATCCCTGTACCGGTGGGTTGGGCGGATTCCAATAATGTGCTAACTCGAGAACTCTCCTTACTATAGTATCCTTCCGGCCCTTGCCTTTTCTTTGGATATGTTCCAAAACACTGGCACTGAATATGGTGTCAACGAAGTATTGCTGGCGTCCGTTCTTGGGTCTGTGGTGTTTTCATTCTTCGCTGCACAGCCACTTGTCATCGTGGGAGTTACTGGTGAGCAACAATCGCCCTGATATACTGCTACTAGAGATGGATACTGATCTCCCAGGCCCCATTACCGTATTCAATTAGTAAGTTCTCTTCAATTCTCCCCTTTTCCACTTCAACCAAACTGACATGTTTCTATCCAGCACTGTTTACAATATTATGCAACCGACCGGCGTCAACTATATTGGCTTCATGGCCTGGATTGGGATGTAAGGGCATCGTACTCAAGGTGTAACCTTGATAAGCTCTAAGATTTGTCTGCTGACATGGAATCAAGATGGTCTTTAATACTCCATTGGATTTTGGCTATTACGAACTCTTGTAATTGGCTTCGATGGGTCACTCGTTTCCCTTGCGACATCTTCGGATTTTACGTGGCCTTCATATATCTTCAGAAGGGAGTACAGGTGTTGGAACGACTAGGAGACGACAGTGCGTTTTACCTCTCGGTTGTTATCGCATTGCTTGTCTTTATGGTAGCGTACCTATGTGGTGCCTTAGGAAACAGCAGTCTTTTCCAACATTGGATCCGCGTTTTCTTAAAAGATTATGGCACCCCGCTCACCATCATCTTTTTCACCGGATTTGTCCATATTGGTCGGATGGCCAAAGTTCATCTCGAGGTTCTTCCAACAAGTATTGCCTTCATGCCTACCAACAGCAGTAGAAACTGGCTTGTCAGCTTTTGGGATATGAGCGTCGGCGACATCTTTCTCGCCTTACCCTTTGCTGTCCTATTGACGATCTTGTTTTGGTTCGATCATAACGGTTAGTCTTCTAACTCGGCATGGCACATTTCGCATAGATATTTTTGACTAACATTTGATAAATAGTTTCGTCTCTGATTGCCCAGGGAAGTGAATTTCCATTGCGCAAGCCTGCTGGCTTCCACTGGGATTTATTTCTCCTCGGACTGACTACCGGTGTAGCCGGCATTCTTGGACTGCCGTTTCCAAATGGCCTCATCCCCCAAGCCCCCTTCCACACTGAGTCGCTGTGCGTCACCAAGCCGGTCAGGAAGGTTGACGAGAAAGGCGAAGACAAAGGCGGATACTATTTCGAAGCAACCCATGTAGTGGAACAGCGAGTCTCTAATCTCGCCCAGGGCCTCCTGACACTTGGTACGATGACCGGCCCTCTTCTTGTCGTTTTGCACCTCATACCTCATGGTGTCATGGCCGGTCTTTTCTTCGTGATGGGTATCCAAGCCCTGGAGGGCAACGGAATCACTGCCAAGATCGTTTTCCTGGCCCGGGACAAAGCCCTGACGCCGGCCACCGCCGACTTGAAAACGATCAAACGCCGTGCTGCTATCTGGATTTTTGTCGGCATCGAGTTGTTCGGGTTTGCTGCGACCTTCGCCATCACACAGACGATCGCCGCCGTCGGCTTTCCCATTTTCATCTTCCTCCTTATCCCTGTTCGTACCTTCCTTCTTCCTCGTATCCTGCGACCAGAGGAACTTGCAATCCTCGACGCCCCCACGGCCTCACCATTTACAATGGAAGGTATCGGCGGGACTTGGGGAGGATCGTGTGCCAGTGTCGATGATCGACGCGATAGTAATGACACTGCAGCCTCTGTCGGCAGGCAATGTTCGCCACAGGAGTCTCATCTCCGCCCAGAACTCCACGACAGCGTCTTCGCTAGCCCTGGGGACCCTCGCAAAAGTCAAGAAGACTTTGCGGACTTGAGCCAAGTCCACAGTGGACACAGCACGGCAACAAGAAGAAAAAGTGTGGATAGAAGAGTGGCGAGTTCTTCTCGAGCTGGTCACTCTTAAATCAAAAAGTCGGTTCTTTAACAAGTTTGAAAGGTGCAGAAACCTCAAAAGTAAACGCAGCCTGGTAATGAAGCTATATAGAATTTTGGTTTTGGATATGACGCTACGGCTGTTGTAGATGCTTCCCTTTTCTCCGATACCCAATTAGAAATAGCTGAATCAACAACATATACTACTGTTTGCATAACAATACACAAATATCAATCCATATAATTATCATTGGCAGATGCCGTCGCCCGCTCCCAAACGCCCTTTGTTCCTTAGGGAAATCTCATGAATCTAATCCTCATCATCGCTATCTATGACAAACCCACCCTTGACCCTTGGCCGCCTTGCTACCACGGGTCGTTCCACCTCTTCTTCCCCGTCCTCATCCACGTCTTGGGTTGTTGCTTTTTCAGTCGAGTCTTCCATATCCACATCAACATCGTTATCCGGAATGCTGTCCTCAGTATTGGAGTCGCCGTCTTCGTCCTCACTCATTCGCCGTCTCTTCCTCCCCTCTGTATCACCGTTAGTCCTGCCGACGGGGTTCTCATCACTCTCGCTTTCTTCGGCGCTACTATCACTATCCAGCGCTCTTCTTGCAAGCTCCAGTCCATCGTCTCCCTCTTCGTCATCATCACCCAGAAGCATCTCAGATTTCCGCTTCTTTTTGCCTTCCGAGGTTGATTTCGGCTTATCGGAGAAGGAGAGACCAGCAGCAGCCTGTTCCGCGCGAGCGGCAATGGCCCGCTCACGGGCAAAGAACTCGTCGTCCTCGTCTGAATCGAAGTCGTCATCGCCCTCTTTAACATAGAGGGCCGACTTGATCTTCCGCGCCTTCTCCTTCTCGCGCTCCCGCCTCTTCCGCGCCTTCTCGTTCACCTCCTCGTCGTCGATCTCCTCATCTTCCGAGTCCTTCTGCTTCCTACGGAGGCGCTTCTTCTTTGGCTTCTTCGGGTCGTCGATCGCCTTTCTTGCGGTCGGGCCGCCCATGGGGAACAAGAGGTCGTCATCGATACCATCATCGTCGTCGTTCTCGTCGTCGTCATCGTATGCTGCCTTCTTCCGCGGCACGGTCTTGCGCTTGAGCATGTTCTCAGCCAGAACCCCTTCGTCAAAGACCGGGGGGCTGAATTCCGCCTGGTTGATGTAGTGGAGGGTGTCCTTGAGGGTTTCGGCAGACACTTGAGGAGGGATGACCCAAGATGAATCGGGCGTCTCCTCGGATGCCGGTTCTTCGCGCTCGAAACCAGCAACGGTCATCAACAGGCGAAGATGTGAGTTTTTGAATACGGCAGTTTTCCGGGCATCATCATCTGGTTCAACACCTGTAGTATGTTAGCCGGGTGGGGTGGTCATTATAAAGGCTTGAAAATTTAGAAAACTTACGGATTACTGGTGGCGCTTTCGACAAGGCCCCCTGAGTCGCATTCTGATCGTCGAACAGATCATCTTCTGCGGTTCGAGCGTCTTCGGCAGCGGCCCAAGCTCTACGCTCACTCTCAGCACTGCTGAGTACACCCTTCAACCAAGCAATGTGATCTGCCTGGTTCTTGTCGAGTAGAGCACCGACGACAATGGCGATCTGGCGATCCTTTTCCTCTGTATGTTTAAACTCAAGCTCCGCGCCTGGCTTCGCCTGGCTTTTCGTTGAGCTGGTTTGTTTTTCGTAGCCGAACTCGAGGTAGTATGCGGTGCTCTGGATTTTGCTGAAGAGCAGCTCGACAATGAGCTCAGGTCGCTCCTCGATTTTCTTGAAACACTTTCGGAGAATCTGCTTTACAAGCTCCGTCCACTCTTTGTATGTGCTTGAGGATTTATCCAGGGGCTCCGGGCCCTTGATCATGTTGTAAAGCAGGTGAACAATGTCCACGCGGAACAACATGACACTCATTTCTTGCTTGAAGGCCACGCGGTAAAAGAATCGGTGCGCTCGCTTAAGCTGAGCATCTGTCAAGTCTCGGTAGTATTTCGTAAACTTCACAAATGTATCGACAACACCTTGTGAGCTGAAGCGACCACAGAATCGGTGAAAATCGAATTTCCTCTCCTTGATAGTTCGCTCGGCCGCCTTCTGGTCGTCTCCGGACTCGTCGTCGCCCGCATCGTCATCCCCCCCGCCGGACTCTCCGTTGGTATCCTGCTTCTTCCGGCGCGTTCTCTTCCGCGAACGGACTTGCATATCGACATTTTGCTTCGAGTACATCTCCAAGATGCGTAGGAACTGGTGAACAAGCTCGGTGGCTGCATCGAGATAGTCAAATCCTTGGTCCTTGTACGTCCTGATGATGCTGGCAATTGCGTCGTGCGTCGTCTCCTCGTAGAACAAGCGGCTGAGGATGTTTTCGGCAATCTCCTCGTCGCCCTCGTGCCCACTCGTGTACATTTCCTGCACGGTGAGGAGGATCTGCGTGAAGCACCGCATGACGGCGGTAAGCTCATGCCAGTCTTTGTATTCGTAAGATTCGTGGAGACCCTTGTTCAGGGTGATGAACATTTCCTGGTTGAGAACCCCGGCCACCAGGTTGAAACTGGACACTTCTTCCTCTGTGCCCTTGGGGGCGTTTTCCTTCTTCGTCTTCCTCCTCATGCGCTCTGCTTCAAGAAACCAGCCGACCAAGTAGAAAAACTGGCGGCGGTGATGCTGGAGAACATACGTTGCCTCGCGGTCCAGTGTCCTCCGGATATGCGAAAACAACGGGTTGAAGCCCGAGTCCAGAAACTCTTCGGTGAAGGCGCGGAGCTGGCCGTTGGCCCTGGCATTGAGTTTCGGGGGCCGCCCAAACTCCACGTCCAGCTTGTCCTCCTTCTTCCCGCGGCGTGGCGGCTTGAACGTCTTCGTGCTGTCCATCTTCCGTGTCCGAGCTGCGGCGTCGACCAAGGCTTCCTGGCCGGTGACCGTGGTCATCTTACCATCCTCCCGCTTCACCCATATCATGGTTCCGAAGCGATTGTGGCGCGTCGGTCGAGTGTAGGATTTGAGCATTGCCTCCTCTTTTTTCATCAATTCCGCCAGCTCGTTGTCCTTGGCTTTGTACAGTTGCTTCTCATCCACGAATAAGGTGCTGGTGTTGACACGTTTGACCAAGTGGTAGATGATTTCCATCACAGTCGTATCCTCGGTGCGGAACTCGTCGCCCATATTGGAAGCCAGGGTGAGGAGGACGTGGAAAATGTCCTGGTATGAAAAGGCGTCGATGGTCACGGATCTCGATATCTGCGATTCCTCGCCGTCGTCCTTGGCTCCAAGAGGCAGGGCGATGGCGGCAACATTGCGGAGGAGGAAGAGCACGAGTTTGATTATGCCCTGATCCCGCTGCGTCCTTTCTCCAATGGGGATGGCCATTGACGGCAGTGCCACTCTCACAGCAGCATGGAGGATCCTAGCGCCGTCAAAGTTGATGATGGCCCGTTTATAAGCGACTTGGGCGAGCTCAAGTACGGGGATGTGACGATGATGGTTCACAGTCATCCGCTCCTTGTCACGCTCCATCGGCCAAGTCAGAGGAACTATGAGCTCGAAGCATGCTAGAGCTATTCTCGATTTGTATTTGCTGTCCATCTCGTTCTCGGGCCAGGTTGCAAGAATCGGGAGGAGGTCGCCCTCGATCAGGTTGGCCTCGTAGATGCATCGTGCGACATCCATCCGGTTCGTCTTCTCGTCGTAAAATCGTATCCATCGTTTCAAATCTCGCAAGACTTCCAGTGCGTCGTCTCCCAGCTGGTATCGGCCATCGTCGTCCTCGGCGCTGATACCTCCGAGCTAACCATGCCTCATCAGATACCTATTCGCAGACCGTTCACTGAGAGTGCAAACTTACCGCAGAAACAAGACTGTTGATATGAGCCCGGACTTCAGGATGGACTACATCCACGGTGCCATCGGGCATCTCCATCCTGATCTACAAATCAGTTACAGACTGCTTGGTATTAGATCGTCATGGGCATCGACAATGGGAAATTATTTTTGGTGGCTTCCTGCTCCCCTCTATTGAGAGGCGAACACGCGTTTGACGCGTTTTGGCAGGACCCGCGTAAATTGGAGCGCGGTCAGTGCCGATAGCTTATCGTAGGGGTCCTCTGATAGCGCGATAAGCCGAGGCCAGCCCGTCCCGGATCCGGGGTAAGTTACGCCTATAGAGCCGAGGTTACCCGCAATTATACCCGCCTACAAACATACAGCTCTGCCGTCCAGCTTCCTCCCACCTTGCCTTTTCGTTATCACCAAGAAGAATAAAATGACCGTGCCAATGATGCGACAGCAATTCCCCCGTGCTTTGCGCCAGGTGCGCACCTTCAGCACGACCCCGCGACAGCATGCAGCTGAAGTCAGGCGGCTAGGTGTTATCGGCGCGGGACAGATGGTAAGCACGGTACAAGCATGTGAAGGGAGACATCGGAAGCTAATCCAGCAACACATAGGGCCTAGGCATAGCCCTCGTTGCCGCACAAAGAGCACAGGTCCCAGTGTCACTCATTGATGCATCTGAGAAGTCATTGGCAAAGGGCATTGCATTTGCAGGTGGGTTTAGAGCATCACTTGCAGGCTATGTGTGAAATCCTGCTAACCTAAAGCTCCAGAGAAGCTACTGGCCAAGGATGTCTCCAAATCAAGAATCACACAGGACCAGGCTGACCAAGCTCGTTCTCTCCTTACGCCTAGCACCAAGCTAGAAGACCTTTCTTCCGTTGATTTTGTGATTGAGGCTGTTCCCGAGATTCCGCAGCTCAAGTTTGACATCTTCAAGCAATTGGCCGAGATATGCCCCAAGCATGCTATCCTGGCCACTAACACCTCATCCATCTCTATTACAAAGATCGCAGCAGCCACCACGTCTGATCCAACTGACACATCAGCATCGTCCAGAGTCGTGTCCACCCACTTCATGAACCCAGTTCCCGTGCAAAAGGGTGTGGAGATCATCAGCGGCCTGCAGACGAGCAAGGAGACTCTGGAAACTGCTGTGGAGTTTTGCAAGAAGATGGGGAAGATCACCTCAGTGTCTGCTGACTCTCCTGGGTTCCTGGCAAACCGTATTCTGATGCCATATATTAACGAGGCCGTCATCTGCCTGGAGACTGGTGTTGGCGACAGAGACTCGATAGATGCCATCATGAAGAACGGTACCAATGTTCCCATGGGTCCTCTGCAGCTCGCTGATTTCATCGGACTGGATACCTGCCTGGCCATCATGAAAGTTCTGCACGAAGAGACGGGAGATTCTAAATACCGCCCGAGCGTCCTATTGGGCAAGATGGTGGATGCTGGGTGGCTGGGCAAGAAGAGTGGCAAGGGTTTCTACGACTACTAGTTACGCCCATCATTCTAGGGTAGTCATATAAAAGTCGTGATAAGTTCTATTTCAGTGTCCTCCCAGCCTTGGTTTTGGTCCTTACAACTAGACGGAGGATCAATGTGACCCTGCGATTAATTCATGAAAGTGGCATTGTTGAGCATCGTCAGTCCACTCCTCATCAAGCAATTCGTAACGCACGACTGTCGTCCCTCTGGCAAAGGTTCCTTATCCAAGCATACTGAGAAAGAACAAGAACGAAGAGGCTAGGTGCATACCCGAGGAAGCGAGGTAGGGCTTGACGACCAGATTGTTAGAGTCGCCATCCATTACATTTCAAGAGGACTTTGGCACCATTCAGGATTCTTGACCTATGAACCCTGCTTGGAGCTGGGTGATCAACTGATGTTTAAGGAAAGTAAGTATCTCTAAGATAAGGCGAGGTAGCGGGTGATGGCCCAACTCGCATAGAGCGCCCGTTTGACTGGTCAACTAATGAGACATTTGGTGAAACCCCCTGTCCTGCCTCCCGACGGAGATGGTGTGGTCCCAGTTGAGCATGACGGTAGGTCAACCAGTTTGCATCATGCAATGCAAGGTAGGAGAAGGCGGAAATTCACACTACCACTTTGAGTCGATGGCATAGGGGGTGGGAATGAAGGCCCTTTGGATGGCTTCGACATGAACACTCTTAACAGTTTTGCAGGGGACCGGGGGTTCGGCCGAACCACGATCAAAGTCAAGCCGTGGTGGTATTCGGCAATTCCCCCATCCATGGAGGTGTTTGGGAGCTGCGTGGAGATCCTATCACAGAACGGTGCGTTTCTATTTTCGACTTCATGTCCTGCAGCACATCGAGACGATATTTTTTGCCTCCGGGCTAAGGGGGGTGTGCCATCCACATCCCAAAATAATAGGGCTAGGACAAGAGTATGCGCGTGGCGGTTTCGTCTACGAGAACAAGAGCGAATTCCGAAGGAGCCGTGAAGAAGGGAGTTTACTACGTTTGAGAAACCACAGAAAGGTCTTCAATGTTAGCCTATCTCTAATTGACCTTAAGGCAGCACAGTAAGCTAGTCGAAGGAAGCTCCAGGGACAATCAACAACACCTTGATCATCGCAAGAAGCCAGCTATCAGCATCTTGTTCACTGCCTTACCGGGTAGGTTCGTTGCTGTGGATGGTTCCCGTGGCTGGTTACTTCCGAAGTTGAATCTCGGACGGTGCCAAATTGGTCATTTGTGCATGTATACACGCTTGCATTTGTCATGATCAACAAAGTCAAGTGACATTTACTCTCCTGCTCTATAGAAGGATCGTAGGTAATATATCGATGGTGGCTGGTTGGATAAAGCAAATCGGCATTGGCCTTCCAGGCCAGGATCTCTGACTCAAGGACACCCCAATTGGTTCTAATAAGGCAGGGCGGTATTCCACCTTCTGACTCGTTGAATCAATCACAAAGAAGGCTGCAAGAGGGCCGAGAACTGCATACCTTGGTAGGTATCTACCATGTACGGGGTAGATTGAATACGGCAGGGTCGGGAGCTGGGGCATTTGTCCACGCCCAGGACGTAGCTCCAAAGAACTTTTTTCCGTCTGCAATGCGGGCCAGAGGATGATCTGAGGGGCTAGCCCACCTTGATGTGTTAGGCAATTGCCGATTGAGCGGCGACGTGCTTGTACATGGATGTGGCCACCCATCGTCCCGGCTCATTGAACAATGCGACTGTTTGGACGGCCGCCTAGCCCAGGCTTGCAGATTCTGGAGCTCTTGGTTACCATCGGAGGTCGGACCAGATTAGGACAATCTCAAAGATACTCCCAGCAGAATGAGAGACCAGAACAAGCAGCACCTACAACTATCCTAGACACAGGACGGGCGGCAGCTTTGGATGGTGTCTTTTTTGCCAAGAGAAACCGGCTTGAACAAGCGGGCGCACGGGGAGATATATCACTTTCAAGTTCCAATAGCATCTGCTCAGGCTGGTTATCTCGCTGGTGCTCCGACTCGGGAGCCTGCTGCAAGGCGACGGAGACAGAGCAGGCGCTTGCGGTGCCATGCTGCGAGCTGCGGAAGGGTGTTACCAATAGGCACGCACTGCTATTTTCTCGACCCCGGGTGCAGCTGGGGATGAATGCCTGATCACCCCCTCGATCAGACGATCAAATTGAGCCTGCGCCAAGTGGACAAAGGCAGAAGGCTCCTCCACAAAGAAAGCCAACCAGGCGACGGCTGGTGTTGCTCCCTACTTCGGGACACAGATGAGGAAGTGGCCGAGAAAAACGGGTGCGCTATGAATGGAACGGTCCAGGCGACTTGCCGGGAATGGTAACCCCGAAGCCCGGTGGTAATAACAGAGACAGACGCAATTCCCACATCAAACACTAGGGGCAGCTGCCATCAAGCCAGCAGAAGAGTAATGCCGGCCATTAGTGAAGTGAATGGACCATCTGGTTCCTGTGATCAGGTACCTTCCTTGGTTCCGAGTGACGGGACGGCAGGTACAGTCCAGCCAGGTGGGATGGCTTGGTAATTTCCCCAGCGGGCAGTGTTGGGCCCGAAAGGAGGCTTGGAAGTTCTTGCCTCGACAAGGTAGTTGGCACCTTCCAATGCCAAGCGTACCTGCCTTAATGTTGTAGCGGCCATGCCTACCAGATACCTAGGTAGGTACCTACATCGTGCACTGGGGGGGTACTGCAACAATCAATCTCATCGTACCTGCACCGATGGTACCTGGTCTTATCCTTGGTCCTCTGACGGACGATGGAGGTGGCCAAGTGGTGAGAGATTCAGGTTCGAGTTGGGATGGGTTTCTCGTGAGTCAAAGTCCTTTTTTTATATCTCAAAGCCTGTGTGCGTGCAAGCGATGAGCAGGAACGGCATCTAACCCACACAGTCGACCAGATCAGGACCAATCTGTGGTCGACAGTACCAGCAGCTAAGCCCGCCATAAATGCTGCTGGCTCTGGCCAAGTTCAATACAAACACCAGCCTTTTTGCATAAGGCGCCATCTGGTATCGGACGAGGCCTGAGCTTATCGCGGACCACCAGTAATTACCGACGGAAAGGAGGCGCGTTCTGTCTGGTTGGTGCTGCATCTACCGAAGCAGGATGGTCCTCCTTGCTGTAGCCAAACCGAAGAGTTTCGGCATATCAAGCTGTGTCGAGTAGTGGCCGAAAAGGCGGCGACATGGAAGCGGCATGTATACGCGCATTGCAATGCGATTAGTCTGTTACCAATCAGGGGGACATGTGTGCGAGCACCCCACCCCGTATTTAGGCACGCCTGGTACATCGTCTCGCGGGCTCATTCTTCTGCGAGCTGGGACAAGGGGAGTCGCCTTGCCCGCAGCCAGGCCAGAGGGCGTCGCTAGAGCCAGCTTGGCTAGATGCAAAATGCTTAACAGGTGTGTTAGGGATGGGGAGCATGGCAGAGCGGTTGCCGGCGTCCAGGGTCTGCGCGGGTTGGCCAATCGCGGTGAATCAAGCATTTTGTGCAAGTGTCTTGACATTGGCGACTGGGATTCCCACCTCATGATGTCTCACAAGTTCCTCCCTCCGGCAAGAAAACGGCCGCCTGGCGCGAGAGCCTTCCCGC